CTTGCACTCGTAAGAATATCTGACATGCCATCATATGCAATATTGTCGGCACAATCTATTGCAAATAGACATAGTTGTCCACATAAAATCTATGAATCGATGTTAGATAGCCTCCTTCTTGAATGGTAGCATACCTCAAGATATCTCTATATTGTGCAATGGCAAGATTCTCAAACGCCTCTTACATCGCTCTCTTAAATAACTTAGCTTGCTTACAGCACACTGCACTCCACATCTCCAAATCATCAAGGTTGATCATTTGACTAGCTATTCAACTAATGGATGCAGACAAATCTGGATCACGACCATATAATGAAAAATACGGTGAGTTGGAAGCTAAGGATGCTTGGTGACTGAATCAATATCCCATGACCAACCATAGCATTTGAATATCTTAATCTTCAAGGTGCTCCTTCTGTATGCCATACTTTTGAAATGCTCTCTTCACCGTTTGCACTATACGTTAAGCCAAATCATCCCTTCTAGATGATCTCAAGACGTGGTACAATGATCAATCAATGTCTTGTCACAGAAGACATCAAACTTATCCTGAAACTCCATATCTTATACGTCAACACCTTAACCGATGCATCAAGATGATTAAGTATTATATCAAGTAGGGCATACACCGTTATCACACTTGACTTGTCAGACAATGCTATCAACTCAATTGACTTGGAAAAATGCTCCACCATCATCAACACATGTCAATGATGTCGTACTGTCAAAGTCAACGGTCCCGCAAAGTCTACACTCCAACGATAATTCAACCTCATAATAGGCAAGCGATGTAACTATGATGTAGAAAAATTGAAGGATGTACTCATTTTATCACACACCACACAACGGTGAGATCAAACTTTGCATCTATACATGCATATCAGAGCCCAAAATAGGATGCCCATACTCATGCCCATGCCCAAATCCACCCATGTCCATGGGTTTTGGGTGACATTATTTTTCCATGGATGAATATGAGTGAACACAAGTAATACTGAGTACAATGTTTGTCAAGATACAATCAAAAATTGGTGTAATTTGAATAGCATGGGTGTGCATGGATGGGCACAAGTAATGCTATGGGTGGGCATGGGTGAGCTTAGGTCGCTGCTAATGGTTATAGTCTCGTCTGGGCGCAGATTTGAAGTAAAATGTTGGACTCTCATGTATATCAAGCCACAAATTTTGGCCAAGGAGTAAGTTATAGGTTCGCTTTACTCCAAAATGTCTCAACTGCTCACGTGCATAACGTACAATACAGTCTCTATGAGAAGTATGTGACACTACTCAAACTTTACCAGCTTGTAGCACACAAACTACACATGGTACATCCAATCGGTAACTCTTAGCTCGCTGAATAACCTGATCTCGCTCCTTGGCACTCATTATGCGCGGTATCCAACTGGTCCGTAGAAACTTCAACACCAATGCATCCTAGCTATATGTTACATTCTGATCTCAACTTTCTAAGGCATGGCTAAAAAGACTAACTTTTCTACCACGTTCACTAGAACAACCTACACAACGATCTCAGAGCAGACAGCCAACAGGACCACAACAATCACAATAAGCTGACTCTTACAATTACTTGCCATCTAGAGTGAAAAATTGGTCAGGTTACTCAATACGAAGGGCCAAGACTTATCGAGCACTGTTGAATTCCCCACCTGTGGCATCACCTTTGAAAGCATCGCGTTCTTCATCTGCGGAGTGTTCACAACCGCGTGCTTTGCTATTTCCATAGCTAAATTTTTCACCCTCAACGGGCTTGAGAAAATCATTGATGCACACTGGATTTTTTATTTCTCTTCCTTCTTCAATACTTGCTTTTATTTCTTTTTGTTCTCCTTGTCGACTCCCAATTTAATAAATATATCTTCTTGAGTTGACTTTTTGTCTACCATTTGTAAGAAAAAAAAAGCCTCGCTAGCTTCTACTTTCCTTTCTTCCGCTTTGCTTGCGGCAAGAGCTACACACTTCTACTCAAGAATCTTCTCATATTCGTACAAAGTCATCTCGTTGTCTTTCTCCTCTTCTTCTTTCTTCTTGCCATCCTTACGGATTGCGGCGTCAACATGGTTCTCGCCATCAGCCTTATTCTCTTCACCGTGAATAAAAAAATTTTACTCCTCTTTCGCAGCAACCTACAAGACCTCTTGCATGACACCCTGATCATCATAAGCTCCCCAGTTTCCTCGACTAGAATCATCTTCATCGCATTGTCATAGTCAGATCCACTATGACAATTGTGCTACTGGCGTCCTCAAAAACCTTCATCGTCTCCTCCATAGCCACAATCACGACCTTCACGGCCATGGCCGCCTCCGTCTCTGCCTTGATTGTGTTCAGAGAACCACTTTTTGCCGTACTCTTCAAGAGGTGACCTCTCAACTACATCACCAAAGCCGCCACCGCCGCCTCCTCCACCAGCAACATGACCAATGCAATCTCCTCCCTGATGGTCATCGCTGTTCTCTCGGTTGTTGCCAAAGTCATTGTAGTTTCCGTAATCTCAAGAGAAGCCATCGCAGTTCTTGCCCTGAAACCCTCTATCACAATCACCGCCATACCCATCGCGACCTCGGCCAATACCACGGCATTCTCCATGTCTACGCCCACTTTTGTGCAGATCTCTCTGCCACTTCACTTCTTCAGCGGTGAAGTCAGCTTTGAAGGAAGCAGGGCTTTGGCCTAAGCTGCAGCAGGAGTATGCTACAATTTCTTGGTAGTGAGCTTCTTTGCATGGGGAGGCTGAGTGGCTCTAGCAATGATAGCTGTGGGTTTTTCATTTTCATCGTCGGCCAAAATGTCAAAATAGTTAGTTGACGACATGGCTTTGCCGTTGTCAAGCAATCCGTCTCCTCAATCTCAAGCATACCTTAGATGATGTCTCCTTTCATCTCCTCATCAGATGCCATCCTGATACTTCTCTCGGCTTTTCTTTCTTATCCTCCCTCCCATAAATCGCCTTACTCTTCACTACAACTCACATCAAAGAACACAATTCTTCGAGTGAAAAATCTCTGTGAAATCCCCACTGGCTAAACACAAATCTCACATATACAATCAAGTATTCCTCAATTAGTTAAAGGAATGAAATTAGAAGATATTATGACAATTTTAGGTAGTATAGACATAATTATGGGCAGGTTGATCGTTAAGCCCACGCCACTACTAGGGGGAATCGAGGCCGATGCTAACAATTGTGTCTAACCCACTCGGAGCTACGGAAGTCTGAACTGAATGTTCTTGGAGTCCTCACTGGAATACATTCTCCAACTAAAGAGAGTGGGCACTAACCTAGGGTTAGGCTCAACGACCTTAAACCCTAACCGTAACGCATGTGGACATGAGAGCTGTTTGCTAACAATATTAGTCTCTTTCTGGTGAAATGAGTAGACTGTGAAGAGCATGCCTCGAAGTAAATTTTCATTAAAAATCAATCTGCGTGTTTTTTATATATAAAAAATTTTATTTTCTTATAGCATAAAAATATGTACTTTAAGCTAACGAAGCTTAAAACAGACTAAATCTGTAGAAGCTTTTAATCATCTTGTTCACCAAATAAATCTTGTTACACCAAAATCATATGAATATTTTCAAACATACGAAAATATGATGGTTTGATATTCAATCAAAATCAGAGTCAACGAGAGTTGCCATGGTGGAAGATGACAAGGAGTTCTACCTGGCAGGGATTGTGGTAGAGTTCATGCACTAACACGAGTTCATGAGGCTAGTCATACCATCAAAGTGACATCTTAAATGGAGTTTAAGTGAACTCGTTTTCCGAGTAGAAAATAAACATGTCGTGGGTAATTTAGTCAAGACGGAAGGAGTGTAATCAGGTTGAATGCACAATCATTCTACCTGACTAATCGACCTATGCAGTCGCCGTCCCAAGACATTCCTGCTTACTACAATGAAGATCTCAACTTATGTTCAGATCGTAGCTTCGTGTCCAGTCCTCGTAAGGGAAGCAACGTCCACAACCATGTATTCAGATTATAGTTCAGGTTCTGTGAACGCACGATGGAAACAACGCCGGATAGCGTCGGGAAACTTGCAATGAAGTGATCCTCGTACGAAGTTCATGCACATTTTCAGAGACAATTCTCTGGTAGTTGACATGATCTGAGAGAGCAAAGCCTCTTTCAAACAAGACCTCGGAGTTCGTTTTCCAAATGGAATGGATCAATACTACTGCGGTGAAATCAGCAAGTTTAAGGAATATCTTAGATCACAGGTGATGAAGGAAATAATAGTGGATCCTCCACGTGTTGAAGTAATTCAGATTCTACATGTCTTCACACATAGATTCTACATGTGAAGACATCTGCAGCTGTCAGTTTTTGTTGAGAGTACTCAGATCGGCACTGTGGAATTCATCCATCCTTGCGTTCTTCATACATCCACGAGTTGAACTGAAATACATTTGGAGCGTCAAATCTTAAAATATGAATTTAAAGGCGAACTTAACAAATCAATTAGATTCTCTAGAGGATCGGTTTTTTTCGAAACAACAGCAGTATCATGTAAAACCTACCAATTCGATTCGCGCCTTCAGAGCTCATCGGAACGTTCACCTGTCCCCGGACCGATCCATGTAACTCTACACGAGGTAAGCTGGGAATTTAATCTAGTCTTCTAGAGGCATAACTCTTCACAGACGCAGTGTCCGTGCCGACGTTGGAATTTTCACTCAACTGTACCCTCTCACATTTCGCATCTAATGGCGTTCAGAAAGTGCTTCATGACGCTTTGCATTCCAGCGGCTTGGATTCTGAACATAGATGATGGAGACCATGTGTATGCGGACAAACCGAAATTACTGAGATCCATAATGTAACCTTTGTCACCATTTGTCGTTTTTGTATTATGGAATGCTGACGTTAGTCATCATGTACCATACCCATTCATGCTGCGAAGTTGAAAGGATAGGCCATTACTTGTACATGCAATACTGCATCGGAAGCCATGGAATACAATAAGAGATTTCAACTTATGAAAACAGATAAACAGCACTTCATCTCGCAGGCTTATCAGGCAAGCGGCGGACGGTATATATACACATTTATCACTTTTTGGACGTCTATGTATATATGTGCAAATATATCTATTTGCTACGTTTTCCTGAATATCTCACCAAAGCTCAACTCCAACACCACAAGCTACATCCCATCATTCGGAAACGACTGTCTTGATGATCTCACTAGAGTCCGCCGATTCGTAAGAAGCTCCTCGAGCTTGAAGCCATGCAACTAACTCTCCCTCGGACAAATCCGCCAGCTCGTTGACGGCGTGGGTTGCTTCGTCGTGGTACAGGATCCAGGAGCCCTTGCTCGCACTGTCAGTGTACACAATGGAGTTTGGCTCAACAGTGGTGCAGGCTGTTTCCGCCTCTATGTCATGATACGTGCCAGAGATATGGCAGTTGTCTATGTACTTTGCGGTTCTGAACAACGGACGATTTGTGAAGCAATGGTCGCCATTAGCTGTCCCCCCGGGAGCTTTACAAAGCTTCTCAGCAAATGCGAACGTTGATTGGCAGGACTTCGCATTTTTGAACTCCACCGATTTCCATGTATGGCCCTTAAGTGCACAACACAAATTCGGCTTGAGATTCAAGCACGCAACAGCAACGCCTTGACAGTTCTTGAGCTGGTAGAAGTAAGCCGCAACGGCATCAGCAGGCTCAAGTGACATCGTCACGAGCATACATACAGCCAGTAGATAAGACATGATCCCCGTTTTCTCCATCTTGTTACGAGTCTCTGCGTGTGCTTAACTTCAAGCGTCTGCAATCGATGCCAGAGTAGACAGTTCATCAGTGAGTTGTGGACTTCTGGACTTCTGGACTTGTGTCTTAACACAAGTCCAGAAGACAGTTGAGTCTCTCCCAAAAGCAATGCAAGGTCTGATCGATGATGAGATGCTTAGATACTGTCCTGCTGAAAACCTCCACACAGAGGCTTTCAAATCGAGATTTGATCGAAGAGGCCCTTCCTCTTAGGACACATGATTATATAGATAGGAACTATGCTTAAGCCACTCTGTACAATAGATGATCACAGAATATAGAAAGACGTTGTCAGATGCACACACGGAAGGAGTCCACGATTGGAACCAAACAGTTCCTACACGAGTTGACATCCGTGCCAGCATTTCTCAAAACACATTAGCAACATTGAACCATATTGAAATGAAATAACTTTCTCCACGTGACTCAGACCCAAGTGAAAAACAATCTGCCAATTTGCAACTGCATCGTCATGTGCACGGTGAATGAGCATAGTCTAGGCACTAGTCTTGGCAGCTCTTTCAGCTCTTTGAGCAAAAGCAGAACGCATGAATCTGCATGATGCAGGCTCTGGAGTAATCCCACCTGGATCGACAATCAGCTGCGGAGACGAGTTGCTCCAGATGACCACCGAGAGAAGATGAGAAGTGGCTTCTCTCTCAGACGCTTATATAGCCTTCCAATGGGCTGCATGCAGACATGGTCAAATGTTTTCTCAAACTGGCGTCTTCCACAAATCTGCAGATTCCTGCTGAAGCTGACAAAAAGTACCCCTGTACCTGTAGCTCATTTCTAGAGTCCAAGGCATTCCAGTGCTCCCGAGTTTTTGCTTGAAAGCGGGCAGCAAGTTATCTAGCAAGAAGGATGGGAAGACCCCATCAAGCCCAACAGGGATGCTTCCAAACGGGTATGAGCTCATAGATCTGATGCTTCAAGGTCGGTGATGTTGACTTAAACATGTGCTAAGAAAATTTATTTTAATCGAATTATTTTAAAGAATATTTTTTGTTTATCTTTCTCATCGAAGGATGGAAAATTCCATCAAACCATACAGGATAGGAATTAACATGTGACTTGTGAATCATGAGCGTGCCTTTTCTCCCGCATCTTCCATCAACATTGGCTCTCATCAGCTGAACTCGTGTAGGCCAGATCGTTTTTTCTCATTTGCCATTTTTTTGGTTCTACAGGTATACGCTTCACTGCTTGGTGATGAACGCTCGTACTACTCTCTGGACGAGAAAGAGAACAGAATCTACCGATGGAGCACAGATTTCGAGAATATGAATGGGATGGGAAATAGCACTCAAATAAAATAGAGCAAAGGGCCCAAACAATTGAGTTGAACCGAATTTCTTCTCTGACATATATCATATGGCAACATCTCGCAATTAGGATGCGTGTTCACCAGTGTTACTAGTCTTGAAGCTGAGATGCACATCCGGTTGAAGAAAGATGGAGGTGAGGAAAGATATCAAGAATCAGAGGTGTGAGAACTTTAAGCAAGAGCTCATCGGGTGCTACAACGGCGGATTCATGTACGTGTTGCAATGCTCCTTGCGTCGAAAAGAGTTGGCCACTTCTCCTGCACCTTCGTGATATCTGCTAAATGCCGACAGTCCGGAGTCCTCGGAAATAAACTAACAGCCACCTCTCGATACATCACAAGTGTCGATCAATAGCTCTAGCATCTGCATACAAGAGGTTCAGAGTCAGCCCCTAGTGTAACTCTCACACACTGGAACCCAATTTGTTGCATAGCTTCCTACGACGTTCCTTCAGCACAACGTGTCAGATGATATTACTCGTTAGATTCTGTGGGCAGGAGATATTTCGATTTACCTTATCTATATATAATCTTCGAGAACACAAACCTGTCCTTCAATACTCTTTTAACTTTTGTGTTCCCCAGGTGCAGTACAGTAGAACGAAAGGAACATGTGCGCATGTCCCAATTCACGATGAGCAGGGCCCTCTTATACATTTACAATTGCGGATCAGATTCCTATTCTTTCTATATTAGTATATGTCCGTGATGTCCCGACTTATTGAACGGCGGCCATAGTTTGGTGGGTGCGAGAGGCCGAGAATAGAAAGCCGACTGTGCAGCTCTTTGTATGAAGCTCACAATCCATGTTGAACAGATTACATCGATATCTTCATTGAAGAGTTTACATTGTTATGATGCTCCCGGCAATGCATATATTGTTGTAGCAAGAATATTAAATATCATAGCGTCCTGACTCACTCCAATGAAGACTTATAATTTCGGCATGTGCTATATGATAATATGTCAGTGACGAAATGATTCCCACTTTATGTTTGGGCCCTAAACTTAATCGTATTTTACTGCAATCTTTCATCCCTTTCATATACGAATGCGTTCTGCTGTTTTGGTGGATTCCGTTCTGTTTCTGGTCCAGAGAGTAATACGTGCGTCCAACACCAAGCAGTGAAGCATATATCTGTAGAATTCAAAAAATGGCGAATGAGAGATAATTAAATGGCCTACACGAGTTCAGATGATGAGAGCATTGGCTTTTATCAGCTGATCTGGTGTAGGCCAGTGAATCGTACATGAGATAGGAAAGGGCATGCGCATGATTCACATTTACATGTCGGATCCTATCCTATACGGTTTGATGGGTATTTCCATCTTCAGGCTACAATACTTGGTACCTCGATTGGGAAGGAAAATAATAAAATAAGGATAAAATAACTTTATATAGCTCATGTTATCACATGTGTCACCGACCGTCGAGTTGAGATATGAGCTTTTACCAGTTTGGTTTCATCCCTGTTGGGCTTGATGGGGTCTTCCCATTCCTTTTGCTTTACTACTTGGTGCTCCACCCCACTTTCACATATAACCTGAGAACCGTGGAGCCTATTCAGTTTCATCTCTGTTGAACTTGATGGGGTCTTCCCATCGTCTTTGCAACATAATTTGGTGCCCGCTTTCAACAGAAAAACTCACGAGAACTGGAATGCCTCGGACTCTAGAGCAAATGGTATGAGCAACAGGCACAGGGGTACATTTGTTCAGCTTTAGCAGGAATCTGCAGATTTCTGGAAGACACCAGTTTGAGAATACAGCTGACCATGTCTGCATGCAGCCCATTCGAAGGCTATATAACCGTCTGCGAGAGAAGCCACTTCTCATCCTCTCTCGGTGGTCATCTGGATCTACTCGTCTCCGCAGCAGATTATCGATCCAGGTGGGATTACTCCAGAGCCTGCATCATGCAGGTTCATGCTTTCTGTTTTTGCTCAGAGTAGAGAAAGAGTTACCAATACTAGTGCCTAGACTACGCTCAGCCACCGTACACATGACGATGCCGTTGGGAATAGTCAGATTGTGCTTCACGTGGGTCTGAGTCACATCTGGAAACTGATATCATTTCAATATGGTTCAATGTTGCTATTGTGTTTTGAGAAATGCTGGCACGGATTTTGAATCTTGTAATTTCTGTACAATCGCGGATTTCTTTCAGTGGAAATTTTACAACTTCTTTCTATAAGCTGTGGACATCTATTATGCAGAGTAGCTTGAACATAGTTCCTATTTGAGTAATCATGCGTCTTGAAAACCATGCTTCGATCAAATCTCACATTGAAAGCCTCTGTGTGGAGTTTTCAGCAGGACAGCATCTAAGCATCTCATCATCGATCAGGCCTTGTCTTACTTTTGGGAGAGACTCAATTGTCTTCTGGACTTGTGTCTTAACTAGCTGATGAACTGTCTACTCTGGTATCGATTGCAGACGCTTAAAGTTGAGCACACGCAGGGACTCGTAACAAGATGGAGAAAACTGGGATCATGTCTTATCTACTGGCTGTATGTGTGCTCGTGGCGATGACACTGCAGCCTGCTGATGCCGTTGCGGCTTACTTCTACCAGCTCAAGAACTGTCAAGGCGTTGCTGTTGCGTGCTTGAATCTCAAGCCGAATTTGTGTTGTGCACTTAAGGGCCACACATGGAAATCGGTGGAGTTCAAAAATGCGAAGTCCTGCCATGCAACGTTCGCATTTGCAGAGAAGCTTTGTAAAGCTCCCGGGGGCACGGCCAATGGCGACCATTGCTTCACAAATCGTCCGTTGTTCAGAACCGCAAAGTACATAAACAACTGCCGTACCTCTGGCACGTATCGTGATGTGGAGGCGGAAACAGCCTGCACCACTGTTGAGCCAAACTCCATTGTGTACACTGACAGTGCGAGCAAGGGCTCCTGGATCCTGTACCACGACGAAGCAACACACGTCGTCAACGAGCTGGCGGATTTGCCCGAGGGAGAGTTAGTTGCATGGCTTCAAGCTCGAGGAGCTTCTTACGAATCGGCAGACTCTAGTGAGATCATCAAGACAGTCGTTTCCAACTGATGGGAAGTAGCTTGTGCATTTGGAGTTGAGCTTTAGTGAGATATTTATGGGATCCGTAGTGAATAAATATATGTACACATATCTACATACATGCAGATATTTATATACGTGTATATACACCATCTGCAGCTTGCCTGATAACCTCGCGAGATGAAGTGCTGTTAACAAGTTTTCCTTAGTTTTGATGTATTCCAGACCTCACTAAAACTATTTCCAAAAGTGTCATTTTAGGAAAAAATGCCACCTTTGCCACATCGGCCCAATTGTGGCATTGGGCCGATGCCACAATTAATAATTTTTTTTAGCAACTTTTTGGTTGCGATTGAACTTTACGGCCTAAATTCTTAAGAGTTCGCAAGCACTACCTAAATTTTACAAAGTGCTGGGCTGAAACAGATAAAAGTTATTATCCCAAGCAAGCAATAGATCGCATTGCAATCAGTAAGTTATTGGAAAGAGAAGACTTTTATTTGTATTTTGAGTTGATTGTGGACAGAAATCAAAATAATGCATGATCACCCGATGGATGTAATTTTTGAAAGAAAAGATACACCTTGAAAGTTTTCTAAAACTCTAATGTAAGAATATTCCGATCCTGAAACCAAGTTTCTCTCCAATCCTAGGATCGAAGACAGATGATATTATTATTCATCTTCAACTTAGGTTTTGAGGAGGAATACGATTCATGTCTCGTGGATTTTGGAATTTAGCAAATTCAGTTGAAGTCTAATATTCTCATGGTTAGGATCAAGAACCTTGAACTCATTTGTTCTCAAATTACTAGTTCTCTGTGCTTTGAGTGTACTCACGGTGAATAATCATGTGATCTGTTCATGGACTTCTCTTGTTAGCTTTCGATGGCTATAGCCTTACCTTGAACATAACATGAGGCGGAAAGCTAAGTTACTCACAACGTAGAAACAATCCTACCTGCATTTCTCGTGAAATAATCTCAATCTCTTATGGTTTCAAGACTGACACAGAAGTTTTTCAATACAAATGCCACAAGAACTTTTGGGTGCCACAATTTACAAAAAGGTGGCAAAAGTGGCAAATGCCACTTTTAATGAGGTCTGATGTATCCTCTCAACTTCGCAGCACGAATGCACATGGTAGTTGATGACTAACGTCTGCATTCCACAAAGCAGACACAACAGCTGTTGACAAACGGAACATTGTGGACCTCAGTCATTCTGGTTCATATTCGCATACACATCGTCTCCAAAGTCTCTGTTGATAACCAGAATTCAAGCTTTTAGAGTGGAAAGGTTATTATCCGGGGTGTCTGACTTTATTTGTGGGTATTATAGGGTGCAGATGCATTTCCAAAGACGATACCATCTTGTAAGGAAGTTTCATTGGTTTATTGAGGTCGCCTTCGGATTAATTTCTGGAGATTGAAGCTCTACATACATTTCGGTTCGGCCTGTGCATGTACCAAGAACTGAAGATTGATGAAGTCCACGGCGACGATCTTTGTATCACTGCAGCTGATCATGCGCTCACAGAACCTGAACAACAATCTGAGAACTTAAGTTACTTTCCCTAAAAAGGCTGGACAGGAACCTACAAACGGAAGTTGAGATCTGCCTTGCCAGTTAGCATGAGTGTCCTGGGACCGCAACTGCAAAGGAAGAACAGGCGGGTACAATGATCGAACATCCAACTTGATTACACGCATTTCATCTTGACGTAGTTACCCACGACATATTTCATTTCTAAACTCGAGAAACGAGCAGGTTACAGGGTGCTTCTATCTATTTGCCGTGTGATGCGAACCATCATATCTGCGACCCTGGACAACATGCGGCATTGCTCAGAACCCTCGAACAGATAGAGTCAACCATGAGTATTCAAGCGAGCTCAGGAGTAGAGGTGGAGCCATTTACTGGTCCCATTTGAGGGCGTAATAATGATCTGTGACAATCACGTCCTACACATACTAACAAGGCTAAAGAGCCGTTGTGTTGCGGCTTCTGGCCGCAACTGTTTCTTACTCTACTCTATCAATGACTAATTAAATCTCAGTGGACCCCTTCTTCAGAAGTGGAGTATGGCATTCTATGATCGGTTCGTGCAAGCTTGGTTCTAATTAAAGCTCATGATGTCTCTGGGACTCGCATCCTTATACTACAAAAAGTGAGAGATTTCATGAATCGTGATTTCTACAAAACTTGAAGTTGCACCTCTTTTCCCTCTCCAAACAATCGTAACCGAATAGGAACTCACAAGGACAGGACAAAATCCTTCCTAATAAAGGATTCTTTGCATATACAGGTCAAGGGTCTTGATGATCTTTCGTAAGAAGACCTTTCGATCCATTCGATACCTGTCAGATATCCAAAAAAGAACAATTAGACTCCACACGTGGTTTAAGCTTCAATCAAGTTCATGCAGTTTGTGCATTGGAGAGAAATACACAGGTCAAACTCACCTCACGGCTGCTTGCCATCTTGGGCTCCGCTTTTCAGATTGAGACTCTGCATGAAGAAACAAAACACAATCAATCCAATCTTGACGTAGAGGTTAACATGAAGGCCAAAGGAAGTACTAACTATAACGCAGAAAACGATGAGCAAAATATTTACACTGGCTCACCGTAAAGCCTTCTATCATCCTCAAGTGTTGTAGGAAATTGGTCTAGATGCTGTTGACATTCAACTTGCAGCGCCCTTGCAGCCTTTATTTCGTGACTAGGAAGGAAAGGCAAATCCCCATCAGACCATGTTGGCAATGTACGTGCAGCCGCAATCACTGCTCCATCAACGAAAGTATCTGGCACGTCTGCAGCTTCCACTGGACAAAAGTACATGGAGACATTCGTCATATAAACAACGGAAATAAACAAGGCAAGTTTTTCTTTTCTCGCATAATAAGACTGTCACTTCTCACTAAGGCTGAAGTGGCAGAAACCAAAGTTGACAGTCAATACGTTGTACAGAAGAGAGAGCATGTCAGATTCATTGATGCGAATTGCAGAAACTGGAATGTTGAATCTGCATCGATCCAGTCAAATTCAAAAGTATTTGCACTAAGACTATCTTCGTAAACTTTAATCAGATCCAATCCACTCATTTATCCAAAACATGGATAAATGAATTACTACGCTAGTCAATAAGCCTAATGTTTTTAAAATCTGATGTATATATACATATACACGAAAATATCGATCTATGAATCATATAATTTATATACATATAAACTTTCTTTCTCTTCTGGAAGGGATTCGTACCATTGTAGTAGAGCTCATCCAACATTCCCGCAAGGTTAAATGCTGACAAGAATGAATCCAAATGAATCTTTGCGTTACCCGAAAACTTCACTACATCCCAGGGATTCTGTCACACCAGAACAAATGAAGCTCCATAAATACATTATATACAAAACAGAGAATAGCTTGTACTATCATAACTTCTAGCTCTGGCAACAAAAGCCAGTGCTACTCCGTTCTATGAATGCGGCTTTATCTTTTTGCTGCACAACAAGACATATCGTCCATTTAAAATTCTGATTTCCTAATGTAACAGCGATTAAGCTAAACATGATACAAAAGTGCTCTATCCACGGACAAGCCAATGACCTCAATATACATACCTGGGCCGAAGAGAATCCGTACAGCTGCATATATGTATCATTAGGTTTACAATCAAAATAGTTCAAAGTCATCTGCAAGGGCGGAGCAAGAAAGTTCAGCAACAATATTCTTTTCCAAGTTCCTAATTTCGTAATGCAAGACAAACGCACAGTCTTTTAGTACCTAGCACTACCTTAAATCTTAGCGAGATAAGGTTGAATACTCTACTCGACACCCAAATGATATGAACGAGCTTAAAATCAACGTGCTAATATTATCTTCGGTTCAAACCACCTCATCTCCTTGCTTGATCGTTTGTCCCGCATTCATGACCACTTCGAGCATGCGGTCCCTTCTTCGCCATCTCATAGAACAAGTCGGTTGGAAAGAATGATTCAGCATGTCTGAACAGTTCAATCATTAATATGGTTAATGATAAGGCATGATCATACCTTCACAATGCGCTGTGACATAAACAGTTGTACAGAAAGGGAAAGGAATTTGATACGTGCATGTATGAGATTGTATATGAGATTTTCGCCTGAGACATCTAATTCAGCTCACAACGTGGATGTAATTTAAGAGGGGAACAAAACATATCTGACTCTCTTGGCAAGAGATATTCTTACAACTATTTGTTGGCTTATCAGAACCTAGAAGACCTGAATTCGAACTAAACTCTCTGAAAAATATCAGCAAAGTGCACACAATAGGGAATTAGAAGCTAATATGCAGTTACTTCACCTGCATAAGGAATTAGCATATTAACCTCCTGGGTCTTAGCTCCTATCGTAACACTCATGTTGAACTTCCGAGACCATGCCACTCCAACGGCCCACAAAAATTGGTCGGCATCACGTGCCAGTCTTTTCAGCTTCAACACAGAATCTGACGGCTGCATGACACAATAATTGAAGTCAAAGACCTATGGCTTTGTCATCAGGTAAACTCCACAAGAAAAAATTGAGCCAAATCTCTCTTTATAAAAATAACCGAGCTCTCCATATGATGCACCATCGTCTCATACATTCATATCTACAAAAAACAACTACAACGATATTGAGTTTAGGATGATTACCCAGTTGCTTGTCCAAGCATCAATCACGCGCTTTTTCTGTACTCTAATAGTTTCTGCCAATTCTTCGTTGTGCAATTCCTGTAATTCTTCCTGCATATACAGAAGTCTAGATTTCAATCTTTCATATATATATATATATATAAGTAATACTGCAAATATACATACATGTGAATCATACATGCAGAACTACGAACAGAAAGAAGAATTATGAGAAAGAAACCTTGTCTGAACAGTCCAGAAGATTGAAATGTTAATGGCTAAATACCTCCGTGGCTAGGAGCAAGCTTGTACTATCCTCATTTCCTGGCAAGTAGTCACTATACAGCTGCCAGAAGTTTTCATCCTGATCGAGGGCGAGAAGCAATAGGCATGCCAATCGAAAATCCCAATCTGTCTGCAATCAGGCACAGGCACAGTTTACAAGACTGCCAAACATTTTTTTAAAATATTTGGAACTCATCAAGCCTATGCAGTGTAGACATACCTCTGGATCGGTAGCATTGATGATTTCGAAAAGTGGATGGCCAATAGGCAAAAAATCCGGATAGAATAACCAAGGGAGTTTCTGGCTTATAGTGATCATAAGCTCTGCCGGAATCTCCATTATCACCTGATAACAACTAAGAAGTTCAATACATGGCACATGTACTTTAAAAAAAAATTAAGAAAAAAAAAACGACTCAATCACATAAAGGGACGAAATTCAGAAAAGTTGGACACATACTCTAGCTTTGTTAAGAGTTGGTATGTCTTTGGCAGCGTACACTCCCACACCCATAGGCCCTTCCTTAAATTCTACACCATACGCCCTGAAGTGTCGAATGTAACCCATCCTGTAAAATTCAGGCTCCATGACCTCTAACTCGTCATTTTCTGCAACCATCAGATAATTTCTCGGCGGTTAGCATATCTCACTCCTGAACGGTTCATGAGCTCAAAATTAGTCAAAAATGAATCAAGAAACTACAGGCATCGAGTAGAACACACGCAAGACCATGTATCGACTTTTGATGGGGTTTAGGGTTTAAGGATTCGCTTTAAGCACATCGCAGAGTATAGAGTATTTCCTGAGCCTCACCGAACTCAATAGAGTGAAAATTCAGTTCCAGAACTAATAAATTCACCTTTAGATTTTTGGCGGCTAGTCAATGTTCCTGTGGCATTCCATTGCGCAGCCGCTTTCACCACCGAAGAAGAACAATTTCCTCTCATGCTCTGCGACTTCACAAACTCAAGCGCTCATTAAGATCAGAGAGGTCCTTGAGCGCACCAAAACACTTCAAAAACCAGAAATACATCATACGAACCACATTCGTGAAGCGAATGTTCAGTTTGTAAATTCACAGATTAAAACTGAAATAAATCAAAAAAAAGTGCCAGCCTGCCATGCCCGGAAGCATGGCCACTGTCTCCATGGCGGACGCCGCCGGAAAATTCTGAAACGTTCTGAAGCAGAATTCACAATTTAGCATAAAAACATCGCACTACTCACTTCGAAAAGACTGAATCCAGTGGCAATTCGGCCATAGCCCACAGAGCAACTCAACGCCCGGCCATGAAAAGGCGATAGCCGAGAGCTCCCAGCTCGAGGACATTCCAATCCTCGAGCTGCTCCAAATGGCACAGCAACCACCGACGCGGCAGCTGTGGCCACGCTAGTCATCTCGCCAAATTCACTCCACCTGCAGAGCTCCTGCGAGACGAAACGAAACGATGGAAAGCGTCGTGAGAGATTCGGGCTCGTTCTGAGTCCAAAGGGGGCCGGGGAGGCGGTCGCTGCAGCAGCACAAGTCGATCCAACGAGCTCTCTGTCCCCCCGTCGGGAATCAGCCAACTGAGCCGTCGTGCCGGCGAATGGTGCCGGCAAAACCGTCATGCCCGAATACCGTCGGCTCAAGTTCCCGGCCGACGACGCCACTCTTATCCACATTGTACGTCCGCAGATACTCGGAGAGGTTAACACCTTTTTAATAGGGCCTTAATAAGGAACCAATATGTATTAATATATATTCTCGGCCCGGTACTCTAACTAACATTTATTGTTAGTTGAAGAAAAAAAAGGAATGATCAATATGGGATCCATTGAAATGAAATATCTGTTTAAACAAGTGTAGCCAGTCCAAATTGCATTACAACTAAAAATGCAATTATAAGACGCATATTCGAATTGGAATAGCGAGCTGTGCGCTTCGTGTTCGCATTAAGTGACACGCAACCCAATGAAATGTACTTCGGATGTCAAACTATGATTTGGAAATATTGTACGAAGTCATCTAACCTTATCTTTCATTCGCTGGTACTTAAAACGCCATTCCTAGAACATAGCGTATCAACTGGATTTATTTGTAAAGTAATTCAACAGAGTTGTCCAAAAGAATAGCAAAAAAAGATGTAAAGACCATTCCAGAACATTGCTTACCAACTGGATTTATCTGTAGAGTAACTCAACAGAGTTGTCCAAAAGAATAGCAAAAAAAATGTAAAGATCATTCGAGTGTCACGGTGATGAAACCAAAGGGTGAAGGTTTTGCAAAAGATCAGACTTAGATATTCAAAGTAGTTTTATTTTAAAATCATTAAATCCAATCTCCAACAATTAGAAAAGTTGTAAGACAATCATTTTTCATTAGCCAGTTTTCTTTATTAAGAGTGTGTAAAAATTGGTTATAATTTTCTACATAATTTTTTTAAAAAATATATTCATTAATTTGTAATTAATAGTCTCACATCCCAAATCCAATAATTGAAACAACATAAAGAATGTCTCTTTTTGTATTTAGGATAGTCCATATTGAATATCTAAATGTCAAAGAACTTGAAGCTACTCAAGTCTCCATTCTCAAATCATTTCAGGTGCAATGTTTTTATAGTTTCAAAAATAAAATTTGATTTCATTTTGAAAAACAAAAGTTCATGAAAATATTACTATTTATAAATCATAAATTAAAATTCCAGATATTTTACAAATTTTTTTAATCAAAATAGTTAAGATTATATATATTTGACAATATTTCCAAATGATCATATTTCAATGAAATATAGAATAAAGATATGAACTATTTCAATCAAATTTGATCAAAATTTCATTATTTGTGCATACACCTGCAAATATTACAACAATATTTGTGAATCAAATATTACAAAATAAATACATTAAACTTATAAGAATGAAAAAATTGATAAAAATTACTTCTAATTAAAAAAAACCCCACTATAAGCCATATTAATTTGACTAAACTCACAAAAAACATATTAAATTTAAAATACATTTTTTTCATAGTCAAATTATTAAAAACGTTATTTTCATTTTCATTTAAAATTATAAATTGATAACGTTTTCAAAAAACCGATTAATCCGAAAAATTTGAATATATATATATTGTTTCTAAAAATAATCCAAAACATTGATATTTTGAAAAAAAATTATAAATAACATATATGTGTTATAATTTTATAACTCAAAAAATCTAACAAATTTATTCAAATTACATAAAATACCATGAATTCTACGGTTGGTACGAATATTTTTTTTGACCATTTTAAAATGACACTGTTTACTAATACATACTTCACTTCAATATATTACATTTTTTCTTTTTTCATAAAAAATATTTTTTATTCCAAATTTTTATGTTTTAAAATTTATTTATATTCAACTGATAATGTGATTGTTCATTGCCAAAGATTGTTCATTTAAAAAAAATAAATTATAGATAAAAAAAATTTGGTAGTTGCAAAATTTTTCATCCTCTAGGTTGCAATTTTTTGTGAATCTTAATAAACTCAATTGTAATGATTTGATTTTAATTATGAACTTATCATTACACATTACTCTAGTTATCACAAACTTGGTAGTTAAAAATAAATTATTTTTTTGAAAACCATAAGATTAAACTTTATAAATAAAAAATTGTAACCTAAACATATAAGTTAAATTTTTTTTATGATTATAAATAATAAAATTTTTTTCTTGTTGAAATAAAAAAATGTTTCAAATTTTATTTTATAAAAAATATTTTGAAAATTTTCATTTTTAAAAAATTATTATTATTACGTGAATTTTTAAAAGGAATAAGTATTTTTATTTTGCATACATAGATGAATTAATAAAAAGATAATTAAATAAAAATTAAATTATAAATTATAATAAAAATTAAAAATATTTAATATTATATTAAAAATAATAGAATAATAAGTTATTGTACTTATAAAATTCTATTATTTTAATAAAATCCTAAATATTTAATTACAATAATTATTAATATATTTTTAATTTATTATATTAAGAATGTATGTTATTATATTATACCATAGAGGAGATTTAGCGACTGGTAAAGAGAGAAACGAGTTTGGGGGCGATCGTTGTTGGTTTGTTTGTCTCTAAATGTGTGTGGACTGTCTATCTTGTCTAGTTTTTACACAAGAGAGAGTTGGTGTACTCGTCCAATTCAAATTGTGCTGAAATCATAGCAAGAGCAGAGAAGAGAGTGATGAAGAGCAGCACACGAACGCTGAGCAATGACGAAACTAGAGGAAGGAATTAATTTTTAACTTAAAAAAAAATAATCAGATTATTTATCAGATGCGGGGTGTGTTGGTTGCAGAACTAGGAGTAGTGGTTGGCCGAATCTTCTTGACTTCCATGACGCCCATCAATCCTTCAGCTCGAAGTATCCAACCCATTTTATTTTTCCATAAATGGAATTGTTCCCCATTGAATTTGGGAAGGGGTTCTTTCTATGCGCCTCGTGTTGAGTACCCTGGACAATGAGCAACTTACACTATTCTATCCTTCCTCTAAACTCACTACCTGTATAAGCTGCTCATTCTAATATCCACAATTAAATGAATCAAATTAAAAATTATGTTGCTAGTCTGTTGGTTTTAGTTTAAGATCTCATGCACCACATGTCATGTAATATTCATTGAATATTGCTTACGTCGAGATCTAGTGGAACAGGTTTGAATTGTATGTGAAAATGATTATATGATCACATCTATGTGCGCCATGTGTCACTTAATTAACAATGTATACATAAAAAGTGATATCAAATTTTTTTTGGCAAACCTCCAATTTCAAGTATAATCTCAAGTACTTTAAGTCATTAACTAAAGATTGGTCCAACCTAACATTGCCATTAACGTTAGGTTGGATATACATATTGGGTTTAAAAAACTTTAAACATACACTCTAATTGATAGATATTGGATTTTTTTTCAAATAAACATTGTTATAAAAAAGTAGAAGAAATTATATACAAAAAGTTTGAATTTCTTGAAAAAAACTTCTTTTTTATAAACTATCAAAAATATTGTTTTGTATTATTTTGTGAAGTTTTTTAATTACAAATTTTCAATTGGTTTTTATAATTGACGTTTATTATTTAGAAAATAATGTTCAAGGTTAATCTAAAATAAATTTGAAATATTCATAATTGAAAAAAAAAATTGAATTTTTTTCCTTGTTAGTAACCTCTTATAAAATTCTTTAAAAAAATATTTTAAAAACTTATAAATCTATCTGAAGTGTTAAGTTTTAATATTTTTATTTTCCATAACTGTTTTATATTCAAAAATTTATAAGATAATTATATATGAACATGATAAAAAGTAATGAATTGGTAATAAATGATAATAAATATTTATTTTAGAACAAAAAAGTTAATACTTTGAAATAATTTTTACATACTTTGAAATTTAGGAAAATTTTAACTGTATATATTGATATATCAGATATTAATTGTATTAAATTTATTTCCATATTACTGTTTATGATAAGAAAGAAAGCGAATGTTTTCATTTATTTAAGAATTTGAAATTTTGTTGCAAAAATTGCAAAAGTTATTATGGTATATTAAAAAATAAATTTCAATAATTTATTTTATAAATTACTTTTTTCTCAAGAGATTTTTTTTAAATTAGAATAATAATATTTCTTTTAATTAATATATAATATTAATTAAAAGAAATAAATCTTATATTTGAAATTTTTTCCCAATATACTACTTCTTATTAGCTATTTTAAAAATATATCTATATGTTGTGTAGAAAAAAAATAAAATTTTCCGTGTGTAGTAGAAACATCTTTCTTTTTTTATAAATTATTGAATAGAAAATTAGGAAAATTTTTATTTTCCTTAAATCAAATAATTTCTTAGTAATAAATTTAATAAAATTTATTCATAAAATTTTTTAATCTTTCATTCCGTTTTTGGTAGTAACCTAGCAAAGCATAAAAAATTCATTCTAAAAAGTTGTTGATTTTTGTTTTATTTTCTTTAAAAAAAAATCTGATATCATAACTTTAAAATTTTATTTTTCTACATTTTTATTTAAAGATTTAATTTTTTTAAAGCATGAATATACTTATTATTTATTAAAACTTATTTCAAAAATAGTTTATTATTATTATGATAGTTTTGTTTAGATAGATAAAATATTAAAGAAGTCTGGTTTAATATTTTTTTAAGTCAACATTTTAAGATTACATATATTTGATGATAATTGATTTTTTTTAAATATACACTTTGAAATATTTTTATCTTTGAAAAAAAATAATTTTTTAGAGTAGATTGAAAATTTTATAACATATAGTCATTGTGTGTTATGATGTCTTTGAAGTATTGTGTACTTGTAAATTTTACTGTTAAGTATTTTAAACATAACGAAACTGTTAATATTTTACAGTTTTAATCTAATTTCTCAAGCAAGTTACAAGCATGGATTTCTTTCAGTTTGATCTATCTGATTTGATTTAATTTTTCCATTTTGATATTTTGTTACTTAAATTTATAGATATAAATTTCAAAATGTTTCAATATTTTTTATTTTTTTTTCCAACTTAGAAATAATTTAGAATTTTTTTTAAATGATGATCGGTGGAAAAAATTCTAATATGTTTTTATAGTATTCTTTCAAAATTAGTAAATTTGAAAATAAGAATTATATATATATTAAAATTAAAATTAAAATTATTAATATATCTGATAAAATTAAAATATATTACTCAACACAAGATACATCTTAAATTAAATCAAAAAAATTCAGTTTATGTAAAATGTTCTCATAATTTTTTTAAGGACTAGGATACTTTTTCTTTATCAACAACAAAAACATTTCATGTTAAGTTTAGCTTGACATTAAATTCAAATATTCAATCACTAATGAGATATTTACAAACTAAGAGTTTGATTCCTACCACATCGTCACAAGAAAAAGATTGATAATTGATTTTATTTGCATATTAAAATTTCTTGTAAGATAAAGTTCTGAGCTCAAGTCGAGCAGTTTACAAAAGAATCGTTGAATGATGTGTAAGAGCGTATTTCAGTAATATTACAATTAGGTGGGAAAAGACTATGTCGAGCATTGCTCATGGTGCTAGTTTTTTATAACATATTCATGGAAAACAGATCATATTGTAGATAAAATTCTCGAAATAAGGAGAAAATGACTTACAAAATATGGTAGGTAGAATGTTGTAAAAAATTCATACGAATAATGGAATACGATATATTGACTAACAATGTGTTAAAAAGATCAAATCTTTTCTTATAAGTATACTCGCTCATTGGAATAACATCTGAAAGTATTCAACTACTGGTTATCTCAACGGAGTATTATAGACGGAGTAACACATAGACGAACACCATCAGTGGATCTTAATATTCAACTATAAAGATCCACTAAAACCACGTGGCATCGTGGCGCCGCCGCCACGTGGATTCGAGTTGGCGACCCCGCAGTCTAGTTGCAATGAGGGAGGGAAATCATTGTATCAGTGCTGACTACCCCCAAGAGAACAGGCGCCATCGTGCAAGGCACTAAACCTCGAGCTGACTTGGCATGGAGCCACTCGCCGTCATCTGCAGCCGTGTCCATAAATTGACGCGTGTCGAACACCTTCGTCAATGTTGTTGTTCGGCACCCTCTGCTCGATTCAGCATTTGGTCGGTCTCGTGAGCTGAATCCTCACTTTGATTCCAAGAGTTTCAGTGAATCGTAATTCATCCGTGAGGCGCAAGTGAGCTCTGATACCTGCTGTCAGTCAGGACGAACTCGAAGCGAACTCGAAGCTTGTGAAACTTAGAAGGTACGATGATGTCATGTGCCCGAATCTCTAAGCGTCACTGTCTGCATTGTGTTCTTTGCACAAATCTGTCGGTGCATTTCATTCCTCCTTGCGTCGTTCGGTGACGAACCCGCTCGTGGATTGTGATGCGCTCAGCTAGGAGGCTTGGCTCTCACAGCATGCAGCTCCTTCTTTCTTGTGGAGAGAACCCGTCGAGCAGCTCGTGGGTCTTGGGCTTCAGGGTCTTGATGTGTTTCATCGCTTGTGGCCTTCGATCCCACAAATTCTAGTTCAGGTCGATACTTGTTTATGCATCATCATAGTACAGGTAGGCTGCGTGGTTCGATAGGGAAGGAGATTCGCTTGGGGGTCGTCGTAAAATGTAGCAGATCACTGGTGATTGCGGTTGCGGTTGTGCAAGCTTTTTTCGGCTTTGACCTCATGCTCCATCTCTGAAGCAGGTGGGACAGGTGAAGCGCTCGGCAGAAGAAAGAAAGAAAGAAAGGACAATATCGTGATCGAGAGCGAGATGGAAACTCCAAAGAGTAAACGCGTGATGGTCGCTGTGGATGACACCGAAGTTTCTGCCTACGCCTTTCAATGGGCCCTCGGAAATTTCATTTCTGAAGGGGACTACGTCATCGTGCTCTCTGCTGCTCCGTATCTCGGAATCGACTATCCCAATGCAGATATGGCATCAGGTACGGATATTTGTTTGGTCAGGCTTGTGTTGAAGAAAGAATGATAGCAGGCTTGGTATGGCCCCAGGACTTTCGATGTTCTGCTACCCTGCCAAGCTTGTAGTGCTGATTTCAGAGCTTTCGCAATCTGTGTGAGCCTTATATATCGAGATCAGTCTTCGTGGAGTATGTCCGCTTACTCTGTCTGGAATCATCGGAGGAACAGAATATGGTGTGCCCATGTTGGCAACACCGCAGGATGCCGAGAGAGCTGAGAAGAAAGTGACGGGACACTCGAAGCAGCTAGTGAACAAGTATCTCGACATGTGTCGTCAAAAGAATGTGAGTACATGAACCTCTGCCAGTCCATCAATTCGTCAGAGGACAAGCTGATAGCTCCAGGTTGCTCTTTGGATCTATGACATACTTTTAGTTCATACCCTCGGCATTTTATGGCGATGAACACATATGGTCACGGTCACATTTTGTTGTCCGCATGAAGAGAGTAGCGCAGTTTTGCTCGTGGCGTTTTATGGCAAGTGTCGGGAACACCGAAATTTAGAATGAGTGAGGGTGTGGTCATTCTGAGTGGGGAAGACTTTTACACGATCCCGTAGATTGCTTGCGAAGGAGAAGTCGTGAAAGGAGATGCAGGAAGCTGGATCGTTGACGAGGGAGAGAGAGTCGCTGCCGATGCGATAGTTGTTGGTAGCAATGCCCACGGTCTGTTGGCAAGGTAAGCTTGAGATTTTACAAAGCAGATCAGCCGCTTCTTGAATCTTGCATGTGGTTCCATTCAAGTTTCTGTGTACATCTTGCTCGAGGTTGACTTAGCTTCGTCCTTTGCAAGTTTCTCTGTTATTGAAAGCACATATGGCATGATGTTGCCCTTCAGGACTATACTGGGCAGCATAAGCGATTACGTGCTACACAACTCTCCCTGCACTGTGGTCGTTGTGCGGCAGTCGGAAGATGCACTCTGCATCCATGATCCTCTTTCTTCACAGGAAAGCCGCAAGGTCGTCATTGCCGTCGATGATTCGAAAGAGGTGAGCTCGTACGCTCAACCTGCCACACAGATGCTGCAACTGTCAATAGATGCTTGCATTAACAGTACTACCGTCAGTATTTTCTATCTTTAAAGCTCTTGACAAAACAGGGTTTCCACTAGCACTGGGGTCTGATCTCATTGCAGCCAGCAAAAGTACCTTCTGTTTACCAAAGTGCTTCTCTAATTGCTCATGAAATGTCTTGGAAACTGGAACCAATAAAATCATGTCGACAAATGTGTAGATCTACGTCTTAGAGATATATCTAGCAGATTAAGTATATGGAGTAATATTGGTTATTGATTTCAGCGGTTCAACTTTACAATTCCCAATAACTTGCTTGTCAGATTAGAGTGGTTGAGCCCCATCTTCAGCATTTTGTTCAGATTCCACTCAGTTGGATGGTCAGCATTATACATCCTGTTTACTTGGTTCAAATACGACTACTGTTTAAAGTAATATTCTCCTGGAATGGGAAGCTAATTGATTCGTCATATTCATATGCACATGCTCTGAGTAAATAGACAATTTCCTCGAGAGCGCCTCATGAACAGTTGGGGATGATTCTTCCTTCTTATCCGGCTCGAAAATATGTCTTTTTTTCAATAATTTTTCCTAAAACAAATCCGTTATCTAAAAATTGAAATCTATTTAAAAATTCTTTATATCTCTTTATTTTTAATTCATTCTTCATAAATTTCATTGGATAAAAAATTATTTTAGTAGATGTTCTTAGTTTATCGGTATTGTTAAAAAAAAAGCGAAATATTATGGAAGTAGTTTGTTTCTGCAGAATAATGGCCCAAACGGAACTTCTTAAAACTTTCGTCCAGTTTGGATACTTTCGCCTGCATTTAAGATCATGAGTAATCTGATACAAGTTGGAATGAAAATGTTGATGTGCAGGCAATCTACGCATTTACTTGGGCTCTGAAGTTTTTTTGCAAGCCTTCCGACAATGTGATCCTGTATCATGTGCATCATCCATACGTTCAACCCATTACTGGGTCAGGAACAGGTGACGAGACCTTGCGCAAGGATTGCACTCACTGCAATCCTGTGATTTCGGTGCAGGCATGTTTTAAGTTGGGTCTCGATGGAAGTTGATTGCATCCATTGGCTCGTGGTGTTTCAAGTTTACTAAGCAGAAGCAGAAGTAATTTGACCATTTTTTGTAGGGGAATTCGGCATTGAAGAAGTGTACATTCCTCCTGATGTGAGCGCCAAGGACGAGGTGGAATCCCTGAAAGAGAGTCAAAAAGTCGTGGAGAAGTTTATGGCCTTTGCAAACCACGAATCGAAAGTACGCCATACCGATCTTTCCGCACATGATGCTCATTAGCACGAATGTTGTATTGACGCACTTGCGTAGAATCAGATTCAGGACGGGAAGAAATTACATTCGTTCTCTCTTACTTTGAGAACAGTCGCTTGTACTGTAACTGGCACTTGTGAATCCAAAGCCTGATTTGCGATTATTTGGCAGATCAAGTGCGAGGGTATCGTAAGGACTGGACAGACTGAGGCGAAAGTGATCGAAGGTTTGATTTCTCTAAAAGCGGATGCCGTCGTTGTCGGAACCCATGAAAAAGGTGCCGTGGCCAGGTGAGTGCTTGACACGAATTGTGGCATTAGTCAGATAGTATTTTTGATTTATCGAGTTTTATTCTTCAATATCTCCTTCAGTAATCCCAGGATCGTATACCCCACGGTGGTGCTAGATGCAGAAGAAGAGATAAAATATTCCTTAAGCCTCGAGCGATTAAACATCAGAGCGTGTTCGTGAAATGAATGAACTCCATCATGAATTTCGATCCGAATTCATATCGGTATATTCTAGAAAAAGCGACGAGAGTATACGCAATGTTTCCTTGTAAAATTAGCAGTCAGAAAATGGAAAGGTCACACATGGTAGAATCATGTAGCAGCAAGGCTAAAGACGTACTTGACGGCCGTCCTTAAACCTCCCGAGGAATTATTTATGGAGTGGGGTTTTGGAGGATGTCCATTGCAATTGGAAGTAACGGAGTCTGTGTACGAGTTTTGCAGGACCTTTTTGGGAAGTGTCAGCGACCATTTGGCGCACAATAGCCCGTGTCCATTGATTGTAGCCAAGGCGAAGAAAGAAGCTACCATAGCCTTCGACGTAACTCCTCCGGAGCACGAAACAAACAACGGCGTCGCTAAACATCATTCGACTTGAGAGTGTCTCTCAAGTCGAAGGAGGAGCGCAGCTGACCACCCGAGGAGGGACATGATAGATCCTGCAGGCCATCTGACGATGGTGAAGCTTCTTTTGCTGGGCATCAACTCCAGCAATTTTCTGAGACGAATTTGGAAGGAAATCCTCTTCACACAGGAAGGAATTCCACATCGCCGGTGCTGTGTTTGTAGATTGCAGATTGCAAGAGAGCTTGAGGTCGGCGTCATAACTCAGTGAAGTGTACAAAATTGCCTCTTTAGAAATGTGCTAAAACTGTACCATATCATTGATATTTCTCTCGTTTTCTCGTGGAGACGGAAGGTGATAGAAAGCCTGCGACCTGGTTTAGAAGACACATCTTATTGCAGGCCTGCAATCTTGTCAGACGTTGAACCTCAGTTGTTGTAAATAATACAGATTTTAGCCAGCAATTTACGCACTGCCAAATGTTTTTCGCTGAGATATTCTGGCGTGCTCAACTTCGTTACCACATGTATGGAAACTGCGATTGATGGATGGATGGATATTCATATTCCGCGTGTACTCGTTTTGGAAATTTCGGGATTGACAAGTTTATATGTGCTGTTCTACTGTCTCTGTGTCACTCCGAAAGTTTCGATTTGAGCATGGAATGAACTTCTAATCCGTTTCGGTAAGCTGTCATACTAACATCCGAGGATAAGCATAAAATAAAATCATTCAACTCGTGGCCAGTGCGTCTGATCTCGCATTGAAAAGAACTTTATAAAGAATGTTTACAAAAGATTAGCAGTTCAAGTGCAAAAACCCCTCTCTCGAATTATCGCTTTTTATAAAACTTTAACTGACAATGTACCGAAAAAACTCCAAAATGAAAATAGTAGTCACAATTTCTGAGGTGAACACACAAAACATGATACAGTTTATAAACGGGAAGAGAAGGTAATGTATATAATCTTCATATTCCCATAAATGTCCCCCGAGGCTAACTGTTCACATTGACGGTCTTTGCGCTATAGTTCGCTGTTACGTAAAAACAATTTCCTCGTTGACTGCAGAAATGTAATGGACTCCGACGTTCGGTTAGAAGCGTATTATTGGCAGAATCCTTGGCCGAGAGTTTGTAATCACTGTAGAGAATATGGGAAGGGCTAGTTATCCCTCAGTTTGGGTTAATTATCACTCACCCTACTGAACAGAGCACTCTGTTTTGTCAGAGCTATGTTTTCTAGAGCTCCGTGATATAATTTTAGCGGGCACATAGAAAATTGCACAAATAGTGCACATTAGCCTAGGGTGGCGAATAATTAGCCGCTCCCGAGAATATATCTATTTCTCAGAAAGCCTTTGTTTTGCAAGCCGTGTTGGCATGATCAGACTACTAGGCCTAGTTCGAAGTCCAGTCCGATGCTAGATCGAAAGTTGGAGTCTCAGCGGTAGTGATGCGCTCGGAACATGAGTATATCGAAGTAAGGTCCAGTCTGATCCTGTGCACAGACCGTGATCAAAGGGGTTGGGACTCTGCATTCTTATTGCAGAATGCTTCTTGGCTGTCATCAAGAGCTTGCGCCTCTGGAGCAGCTACTCTCACTGCTGGACGAGCATCTTCACAGTGACTGCCACATGCAATGAATGGGCTCTGTTCAGGTCCAAGGGACAGCCTGTGCACCAGACACGTACACACTTGAATCCCCTGAACGAGTGAGCGCAGCGTCACCGGCTTGGGTCCTCGAGAGGCAAGCTATTGCGCAGCCTTTATCCTCCTCGTGCATGATTTACCGCAACCTCAAGCGCCGCTCTGGCCAGTCCTCCACTTCTCTCTCTAGAGTCTCGGAACCCGAGACATTCTAGTCTCGGAATCCGAGTGCAGCAACCTTGTTGATGTTGTTTGATTAAAAGGAACATTGTGAGATATAGCGTTTGTGTTTTTTTTCTTAAAATAACTGTATTTTAGATAAAACCTCGAGACGAATGTCTTCAGTTTTTAAATTTCACAACTATTTGATTTAATCAGGTTGATTGGAAATACAAATCATTAATTGCGAATGAATTGTTTGATTGAGTTGAGATCTGGCAATACAGATATGTTTTGATTTAGATAAAAGTCTATGCATCTATAGTTTATGCACATATAATATGATGATACATGACATTTCTATCTCAAGTATTATTCATATTATTCACTAATCTCTAGTTCTCATGCACTTCTTGTTATAAAAAAAAATCAACTCATAGTTTTAAGCGTCAGAGTTATGTACAACTTTTAAATAAATTTTATTGGGTATTCTATCACTTTTTAAATATATTTTTTCAATATTTTCTACAATATTATGTCTAAAAAATACACCAACTTCATTTTAAAGAGTAATTTGAAAAGCGATTTTTCCGAGATAGTAGAAGTAAGTCACTTTCTTTCTCATAAGAAAAACATTTGATAAAAGTTTAGAAATTTTAAAATACAAACTCAAAACATAAGTGAAGCAATGCAGAAGCTATTATGAAAACACATGATAAAGATGTATAATTTTCCTGTGAGCATTCAAGTTATCATATCATGGAAGGAAAAACTTTATCTATATATTTTTTCAATTATTAATATAACCTACAAGAAAATTCAAAATATAAATAATTACATTCAAATATCAATTCAGACAAAATTTCTAAAAAATCATTTGAATAAGAAAGAAACTTCAAACAGAAGATAAATATTGGTAATTAAAATAGCTTTTGTCTTTCATAAACAACTTTTTTCTATAATTTCTGTTGTTACATCACTTCAACCACCTGCATAGAATGAACCAGTCAAGAACTCACATTGTTATGAACACAAAAGCTTCTCACCACATTCGCAAATGCAAATGTGAATCAATTCATAAAATGTGGCAGTAGGTAATACACTGTGCATAGAGTTGTCTAAGAATCCAGGTTAACATGGATTTACCACGCATGTAGATATTAATCACGACTTACTGAGACACTTTGATGAAGAGGCTGCAACCTCAAAAGCTTGGAGTTTTGTAGAACTGCTGATGGATGAGTGTAAAATAGACCTCGGAGTGCAGGAACCTTTGACCCACTTGTGTATCTCATTTCGCATGATTGATTTTAGCCTTTAGTTCGACTTCTAATCTCATAAATCAACCCATATATCAAGTTACAGCTCATGTTTTTTAGTTGGGAAGCAGAAGACTAGGATTTGATTGTACATTAGCCATGTACTATATAAATTTTCTGATTGTATTGCATGGTTTTGGTTGAAATTACACCAGGCAACTTGATATTTAAATATATACCTTACTATTGATTTCAGAGATCAGAAATCTATGTTTTTAATATTTGATTACACACTTAAGTTTCGATACGAGGCATTTGAATAATAAACTCTTGGGACACATGGAAGCAGAGCGGATATTTAACAAGAATGGTGGAGGATTCGAAAATCAGTTTTCTCTTCTCAGGTATACCCTGGCGAGATCATATCTATGCTATAATTCCCTCCCTGTGGACGCGCTGACCCTACATGGTCATGCGCAAACGAAAAGTGCGATTGTTGTGAGGATTTGAAAGAGTAGCAATATCTTCCGAGATGGGTTCAAGACGAAAAACCTCTACTGCTTTTCCGAGGAAGTAAATCATAGATAATTGAAATGGCCGAAAGAAGTAAAAACTATTTGTACACACTGAGAAATAGCAGCCAAGCGGCTAAACTGCTGCCTGGGGGCTCAATTCAACAGAAAGAGTTCTGAACTATACTCCCACTAATGCATGGCCAAGAATTCTTTCATTTGATATCATTTGATTAGAAATCGACGAGTGCCATGATCGTCAATGGAGCGCTATTTCAGAATATATCAAAGAATTGGAGATGGGTTATGTTCTTTCACCTGGTCACTCTTGTCTCCCATCTCTCTAACTGCGGACCCCACCTCTTGCTGTGAACCGCGGCGGCGCCCATGAAATCGGGGATAGATCCTCCGAAATGAATAATAGGCCACCATCTCAAATGGTTCCAATTCGAGCTCTGCTGATGTGATTACCTTCAGATTATCTAGACACGACTCAAGCACGAACTGAACTTGGTGTGTCTTCATTCATCATCATCGGGAGGTTTGTACATATGTGATTTCACGTAGTCTAACCAGTCAGTTGCATCCGCAGGCTGCGTTCCCTGACCACTCTTCACAATGTGCTCACAGATTCCAGCAATGAGGTGGGGTGCAACTTCCTGCAAGGTCCACCAGAGCCAGAAATTTCATCGTTCATGTCAAGGCATGAATGACCTGAGCCTCATCTCACCTCGCTGGCGAACATGTAGCCAAATCCATGCAGCGGTGTTCTATGCAATAAGATTACAGGATTCTGGGGTCGACTGCTTGCGTTCATTCTCTCGGAAGTACTTTTCAGATGTTCAGATGACGATACTCATCTCACGATGACTTCAGATGGACAGTGAATGTTGTTATGGTTTACCTTCATGTCTGAAAATGCCGGGAAAAGCATTCCTGAGCTGAGTCGGGCCTCGGGAGTGATTCCCGCGAGGAGCTCCGCGGTCATCAAAAACAGCTCTTCGGTGATAGTTTTACACTTGGTCAAAACAGTCGCCATGCCGATCGGTCCAAAAACGTGTTCTGCGGTTAAGTGAATACAGCAGACAGGCTCATGTGGACGTCCTACGTTTGATATCGACGAAGATACAAGTTTGTGCATCTACGAGACAAAAAGTTGGATGTGCGTGCATGCAAATAGCTGAGATGTCAAGGAATTGAATCAAGATTCTCATGAGGAAGTAAGGATATGTAAGAATTGTTGGCTTGCGCTGGGTATAAAGTCTTCCCTTGTTTCGTTTTAAACGCTGGGAACGGACTGCCACTGGCAAATACAGCGGTTCCTCCCGTGTGATTGTATGCTTCTTCGAACGTGCACTCGGCCTTCGAAGTGGGGTTGGATAGAGGAAATATTACAGGCCGGGCATTGAAACTGCGCATGGCTTCTAGCACGTCTTTGTTAAACGCCCCTGTGATCGTGGAGACTCCAATCAGTATCGTGGGCCTGGAAGTTCCATCGAGGCAAATCTGCAGGTTAGATGTGGATGAAATGCTAGGAGCAGTTTCTTGACTTACGACGCTGTTATGGGTTCCTGAATCCTGGCTTGCAGATTCTGCAGATTCTGGATATTAGAATCACTCATTAACGAGAAAAAAGAGCGACATTGCAGAAGAAGGTGAACGACGCACCTCACAGATTTCACAGCTGAAAGAAGATCAGGTTGAAACGCTACGTCATGCGCAAACGGTAATTTGTGTTGCTGTAGGTCTGTCCTTGACTTGCAGACCAGACCCTTTGAGTCGACCAAGTGACAACATTTCAGAGCGTCTTTCATGGGTTTATTACATGTCTGCGTTAGAGCTAAAGCTATGATTTTGCCGATGCCCGTGCCTGCCTCGCCTGCTCCCAATATTAGAATTTTCTGGTCTTCCAGCTTCTTCCCTGCAAGCCGGTAACAGGAAAGATAACGCCATCAGAAACTTTTATAAATGCACTCTAACCATGTAAGATCGGTGCCAAGAGCCTGCGCCCACTAAACCAGATTGACTTCTTGCCCTATCTCTTCAGGCATAGGGTGTACCTGTGATCCGAAGAGCAGAGAAGATTCCGGTCAGTGCGATACAAGCAGTTCCCTGAATGTCATCGTTGAAGCAGCACAAAACTTTCTGATACTTTTCCAGAAGCCTGAAGGCGTTGGTGTTGCCAAAGTCCTCAAACTGCAGTCAAACAAACAACGCTTACGGATCTTACTCCGTTGCTGCATTCGAGAAAGAGACTCCCGCGGTTGTGAGAACCTCTTAAATTACCTCCTCCCTCGAGTGCTCAAGGTAGAGAGTTGATCGTTGTCTGTGGAATACTCTTTAGAGACAGGACGTGGCTTGTACATCGGGTACATTGAACCTACTGCAGTGGTTGCTCGGGGACCACAAAGCGTTCAGAATACAAGGTAGCTCTTTTCTTGAGGCCCCAGCCCAGAGATTTACCTGCAAAAGCACATGGGGCTGCCACTTCTGAAGAGCCAGGACAAACTCGTGTATCAGCTTATCGTACGGCTCCCCACGAAGTCGCTTTTGTACGATCCCCTTGTATTGGGGATCTTGAATCAGGCTGTCATTGTTTGTGCCCACGTCTATGCACACTGGTAGACAATGCTTGGGATTTAAGCCGCCAAAGACGGTGTACAGAATAATTTTCCCCTCACTGATGCCCATCCCACCAGATCCCAAATCTGCCAGTCGTCCAAAAGAAGAGCACATTGCCATGAGAGAGAGCGCATGCGAATTGGACGAAACGTGTAAGAAATCAAAACTTGCAATCCAAGTATAATTTATCACAGGATGAATGCAGAGGGCTTCTCGTATGGACATCATCGAATGCCAAATATCTGACTGGAGATCACGAGCGGGTACGTGCATGCAAACCTACCGCCAAGCCCGAGAATTCTCTCCCCATCTGTTACCACGATAACCTTGACTTCCTGGTGTCGCCACGCCTGCAGCTTCTTCAGAATCTTGCCACTGTCTTCTTGTCTTATATACAAACCTCGAGTCTCGATGGGGAGTTTACTGTAATCTTGACAAGCTTCTCCAACAGTGGGCGTGTAGACATATGGCAAAAGCTCTTGCGCATTGTTGATGATAAGCTTCCAGAAAGTGTCCGGTTTTGCGTCCTGCTCTTGCACATGTCCATAGCAGAGAAGGTGAAGAAGGTTGCAATCACGACCTAAAGGGCCACAACTGCTACGGTGTCAGTCGAAGGTTTGAGCATATCTGAAGTGAGGAGTCCAGATCTCGTGCACCACCCATCATTCACAGCCAGAGGAGCGAAATTTTTTCCTGTAAATAGGTACCTGTAGGTGTCGGAGGAATAAGTAACGCTGAATATCAGTGTACATGTGGCGGATCGTTAAAAGCTCTCGAGTATCAGCATGGTGTGCTTCTACAACCGTAGTAGGAGCAACTCCAGGCTGATACATCTGAGACCTGATGTAATCAGGCCAGTCAGCCGCAGCTGCTGGTTTCCTTCCCAGCTTGGACTCCACCATGAACTCAGCGATACCAGAAATCAGAGTTACCACCAAACCCTACACAACAAGACGACCATTTTTGAATTCGGTTGCTCTGATTCAGGTCGATTTCTGAAATGCGCATGTGATGAATATTGCAAGGGCACTTTGCAACAGATCTGAGCAGTTTACTACCTTCATTTCGCCGATGGTCGGGAACAACATGCCAGTTTCGAGATGTTTAGCTGGAGTCAAACCGGCCAATATCTTTGCCGCCTGCAGAAACACATCGTCCGTGATCTGCCGACAATGGGTCAACAGAGCAGCCATGCCCATGGGTCCGAAGATGTGCTGGAAAGAATCAAGGAATTCTCAAAGTTCATATCCGGAACTCAAGCAATGACGAGAATCGATTGACCGAAAAGGATGGATTAGAGTCTAAATGGATGGACAAGGAGACGAGTAGAGTCTCGGGCGTAAGCTCATTAGTTTGGACAGGTCAACGAGGTCATGGTGAAGACTGTTGCCGGAATCCATGTGCAGGAATTTGACGGTCAAAAAAGGATATATAAGCATTGTTTGCTTGTGCCGGATGGTGCATCTTGCCACTCGGACCTTTCAGAGGATCGTAAGGACTGCCGCTGGCAAAGATGACTTTGCCATTGGTCCATTTGAATGCGTTCTCGTATGAAACTTCCGAGCACGTCGTGGGGTTCGACAACGGAAAGATTATGGGCCTCTCGTTAATTTGAGCCATGGTCTCACAGATCTCCTTAGTGAAGGCTCCACCCTGAGTGGATGCTCCGACGAGAATGGTGGGTCTCAGCTGCTTCACTGCAGAGGAAAGTCCCCGACAGCAATAAGATCACCAATCCCCGGTCGCATCCCAGAGCGCACATCAGATCGAAAGACCTGGACCCTCGAGACACTCGCTCGAATCTCCGAGACCGACAGATCGCACGAACGAAATTCGGTCCTCGAGTAATGGAAGTGGCGGCGGCGAACCTGCATGGCGAGATGCATGGGGCGAGGGACGTGAAACGAGTGACGGAGCTCAGAGACTGGGGGAGGGGGCGGACCTGCATCGAGGAGGTTGTCGATGAAAGGCACGTCGTGGGCGAAGGGCAGCTTGTGGTGCTGGAGGTCGTCGGAGCGCGAGCTGCAGATGAGGCCCTTGGAGTCGAGGAAGAAGCAGCGCTGCAGCGATTCGGGCTCCGAGAGCTTGGACTGCGAGCGCATGGCCTTGCAGATCAGCTGGCCGACGCCGGTGCCGGCCTCGCCGGCGCCGAGCACCAGAATGCGCTGGTCCTCGATGCTCAGGCCGGTGACGCGCAGCGCCGAGAGCACGCCGGCCAGCGCGATGCACGCCGTGCCCTGGATGTCGTCGTTGAACGAGCACTGCAGTGGCGCGTACTTGTCCAGCAGGCGGAAGGCGTTGCGGTTGCCGAAGTCCTCGAACTGCAGTAGCGTGTGGTCGTGCAGGGCCTTGACGGCGGCCATGAACTCGTCCACCAGGTCGTCGTACTCCTGACCGCGCAGTCGCTTTTGTCGCAGGCCCTTGTAGGTCGGGTCGGCCAGCAGGCGCTCGTTGTCGGTCCCGACGTCGAGCACGCAGGGCATGCAGACGGCGGGGTTGACGCCGGCCATGACGGTGTAGAGCAGGATCTTGCCCTCAGCGATGGCCATGCCGTTAAAGCCCAGGTCGCCCAAACCCAGCACGCGCTCGCCGTCCGTCACCACCACGACGCGCACGCGGTGCCCGCCGGACCAGTCGCGCAGGCGCCGAAGCAAGCTGCCCCGGTGCTCCGGCCGGACCACGAGCCCGTGGATGTGGATCGGCAGCTTACTGTAGTCCTGGTAAACCTGACCCACGGTGGGCGCGTACACCACCGGCAGCAGCTCCTGCGCGTTGTTGATCAGCAGCTTGTAGAACAGCGCCGGATTCTCGTGGTGCATGTGCCGCATGTACAGGTACTTGTCGAGCTCCTTGGGGATGCGCCGCACCGCCTCCATCGCGGCCACCTCCGCCAGCGCCGTCGTCATCGTGAACCGTCGCGCGCCCGACACCGCCGCCATCGCGACGACGCTCCCTTCCGATCTGCTCCTCTCCCCTCCCCTCTACACTCTGCTGCGCGATCTGATTGCCAGATGCTCCGATTCGCTGCGACCCTCCTTCAGAGCACCGCGTCGTCGTCCACGGCCCTCATCGTCGCGTTTCTTTCAGCCTTGCATTGCATTCTCTTCGTCGATTCGGAACGAAGCTCGCTTGCGATTCGGCCTCTGAGATTTGCATGTCGCGCTCCTCGACCATCCTTTGGATCGGTATCGTGTGACTGGTGCTGATGATGATGCTGAGCGTGCTTCACAGCTCTCCTGCTCTGATTTTACAACTTTTCTGGATTGTCGCGAGGTAGGTTCTCGGTTCGTCTTCTTCCGATGTCCAGAGATGATTCTACAAGGGTGCATAAGATTTTCCGTCTTGCCCGACACTGTGCCGGATGACTAACCTGTCAAGGCCAAGCCATGGGTCTGAAATCAGTTCCCGAAACCTTTGGAGCGACCGTTGCATCCTTTGCGGCCTGAATGTGTGACAGACGCACTAGAAGTTCATTTCAGTATCACAGTGCAATCGCGCTATCGCCGGAAGCAGCCTGATATCCACAAATACGGCTAGTTGTACATAACCTTGCCGGCACAAATCGTGATAAGCTGTATTCGATCGATGTAACTCGTGAGGATTTGGTAAACCATGCCAGTGAGCTTCTATGCACTTGCGTTGTGCAGATTTGCTATCGACTACGAGTTGAAGTTTGCAGTTGAAGACCATGAGCATGAATCACTTCACATGTAGGAGGACTCTTCAAGAGGACGTGACATTCATTACCCATTCTCGAAATAACATACAGCTTCGATCGATCGATGCCTTGTAGTTCCTTCAACGACAGTTTTGATGACTTGTACGTCTTGGGTCAAATGCCTGTTTCTTCCTACAATGCACATGATTAATGAGATCAATGTCTTGGGATCCTCAAGCACCGGGACTGTGACCAACAGTCACCCATGAAACTGAACATTTGACTCACTACGCACCTCCATAGAGTCGGAGGTGCCTAGCACATTGTCTTCAGTGGATCAAGCAACCTCAACTTAGAGCGACCTGCCTGGACAAGACGATGTGCACCAATTCTACTGAACCTCTGATCATCGGTACTCGAAATGTAGCTCTAAAAAATCATCGGCAGACGGGATGGTACTTAGTCTTTTAGCCGAACTTCAAATTCTCCAGGAATCCACGGAACCGTGCAGGTGCCATAATCTTCCATGCTTCAAGCTGGAGGTGCACCCTTCGGATTTGCAATGTCCGTATACCATCTTCTTCTTCGTCCTCTGAAGAGGTTCGTACTAAAATTGGAATCAATGACGGTTCGAGCGGGAGTTACAGTTCGGATCTAGAGGCCTGGGCGCAGTTGCACCTTCTCCGCTCACAGCGTCCCTTGCTTTTTCCACTTTTTCCGCATCGTCCGGAGAAAGAGAATTCAGCACTGTGAATCAGATTAGGCAGCTCTACATCGTGGCGTCTCCTTGCTGCCGCTCAACATTTCACTCACTTTGTAAGAGGTTGGATACGCACGTATATGCCGTACGACGATTCATAAACCATGAATGTTCCAACTTTTCTCCCACGGAAGTCCAACATGCTTTTCGGAGATGCCTATGCCTCTAAAAGTTCAATCTGAATCTGAAAAGCAAGTCCAATCATGCGGCTGCGTCAAATTGCAGCCAGTGCAGGCCCTTTCACGATTTCTGACTTTTGTGATTCTATATCTCTTCCTTATACGTATTCACGGAACTCATTCCTGATTGTACGACAAGCGTTGATTTACAGATACTAAAATTGGATGTACATTTGGCGTAGAAGCAGTGAAATTCCACAGAATAGAAGAATACAACAAAGACAAGTGAGCTCTTACAGCTGTATCAGGCTTGCAAGGGTTGAGTGCTGGTAATTGAGTACAAATTGTACTCCGTCAGTCACTTTCCGTTACATGCACTCAAATTTCCATCGAATTTCCATCGGTCAGTCGACAGCGCTCGCTGTACTTCACAAACAGTAAACATGTATAGCTCATCGAGTGGGAATCAAGGTGGCAGGATTTGAAGCATGTGGAGTGGAAATTCAGAACTCTTTTTATGTCCCCGCTGGCGATTTTCAGACACCTCCGGCTGTTACAGTTCCCCGTCATCTAGAAAAGACCAAAGCATATCATGCCCCAGAACTCGGTACTTGGAATTTATGAAACCTGACCATTACGTGCGGTCTACATTGTTGGTAGCCGACGACTGTCGATAATCATCATGTGCAAGTTGTTTCGAATCGTCATAAGGCATTTGTTGATAAGTCTAGGAAACGACGACTCAGCTATTACTTCATTGTGATGCTCAGAGAGAGGGTGTTTCAATTTTAGGGCCATGCTCAGAACTATCAAAAGGTATCTTCATAAGATGTAGTATTTCAGGCATAAAATGGAGTTGGGTTGGCCAGAATCAGTTCGCAATATTTTTTTGTTATCATAGAATTCTGCTCATTTTTGCAGTGAAGAAATGATGATCATAAGTGATTACTGGGCCAATTTCGAGCTCGATGCATGTGAAGGCCAGAATTTTTACAAGCAACATTGGACCTGTTTTGAATTCCAAATTTGTGATAGAGATATTCGATCTCCGTGTAAAACTCTTTTGCTTGATTCACAAACATGGATTCTCCTTTGGACTACTGATTTGCCTGATATGTGACCACCTTTATCAATCGAAGCTTTGAACTACTTTATACTGGTCAGAGATTTGTCAGTATGCTTTGTGCAGCACCCGTTTCCTTCAACTTGGGAATGGGAACAAAGTAGAGGTCCATACTGAAGCCAAGTCCATCTGTGAATGTGATCTGATGGTCATGACCAGGACGAAACTATTGATTCAGGTTTATCTCCAACGACAGCTGTAAAATTCGCGGTCGAAAAGTCATTTCAGCTTGAGACGCTTGATCTGGCGAATTCGAGTCTTCGTGAAATGGATGCAGAACATTGGCAGGGTGCAAAATGTCAGTGGTCTTGTCGACCAAACGAAAAGGAATTCCACACCGCCCAAGAACCGGCCGCGCCAGATAGGGGTCGAACCTATGACTTTCTGCTTAGGAAACAGACGCTCTATCCACTGAGCTACAGGCGCTTGTTTGAGCACTCCAGCAGAAGTTGTCAACGGGTAACTCAGTTGTGCGGACGTGAATACATACCTCAATAAAAAAGACGACAATCTTGTTAGTGATTGTTAATTCCTCCCTGTAATTTCATATCTCACGGTGAACGGGGATTTACGGGGATTGTTGGACTCCTCGGTCGTTCAAACTGCAGTCAGACAGTAGTTGCGGCAGTGCTCAAGCTTCTGCAAAAGAGTACTGTACTCGCGAGATGAAAGTGCGACCGTGATGCAACTCACCTCAGAGGACGTTTGCAGCATGAGAACACGGTGTTACGTTTTTTAGACCTGACAGTCGAAAATCGCATCGAGAAACTAGACCCTGGCTCGAAGCGAAACTCCAATTCGTATCACGATTACTCATGCTGAATTCCGAGCCCGCTAATTGAAAATCGCCAGCTCTCAACACCAGACTCAGTAAGACTCGGTTGCGAACATGACTGACCACATTGTTCCCGCCGTTTCCTGTCGCCTTCGATGTCCGAAAGTCAAGCGCTGAGAGATCGGGTTCGGTCCAGATCTTTATTACGTCAACCGATGGGAATATATCCATCGAGTAAAATTTAGCATTGACAAAAAAGTGATTGAGATCAATCACAATATATATACATACAGAGTATATATATATATATATGTATATTTATATTTAAATTATGGCCTGCTGGATATTAATGTCAACCCGATGGGACAGACCTCGAGTGAGGCTCTCTGATTCGAAGACGAAGCATCCGTGGCAAAAGATGACGTGGCAGATGTGGGTCCGAGAGAGAAAGAGATGAACGGTTACGAGACGAAACGGACAACGAAGAACAATTAGCACCTAAATGTACACACAAATTGCCACAGAATGTGAAATGTACCCTGCGACTCGATATGAGATCTGGCTGGATGCATGGTATGTATTAAAGATTGTACTTGTGCAGAGTGTTATTTTAATCCAGCAGCTTTACAATCGGATCATGACAAGTTTTCAGGATTCATAACCCAAACAAGCTTAACATACATATGGTTAATTTGAGAAGGGAATCAAATAAATGCAACAAAAGTAAGAAAAGACCCCATGGATGAATTATTACATGGATGAAGCCAAATAGTAAGACGGGGCTAGACCCCAATAGCCATAGAAAGGACAGGTATGCATATCAGAATCATCAACTAACCTCATTTATCATTTATCTTCTGTGGATGGACTAGCTAGTGGACTATGGAACACATCGATACATGTTCGCGAAGATATAGTGTATAAGACAAAGCGAGTGGTAAATAATGTCCCATGGTATGATAACCTCTAGTGGCCATTATTTCACGACCAGGTCAAAGTTGTAATATAGCTACATGTCACTAAAGAGGTACGGTGTTTTTCAGTTGACATTTTCTACATGTCTCTCAACTTAGAGATATTAGCTGCTTCCTCTTCATTTCGTTACCATCCTACAGAATGCATGATCACCTGTTTCAGACACATATTTGTTGTGGACCTTGTAACCCCACAATATCAGTCTGTTACTTCCTCTGATTGAGATTCTCACAGTCTAGTGACATAGCAAATAGTCCAACCATAGTGCCATCATATGTAGATATATGTTAGAAAGATGAAATGAAAAACAGACTATAATATGGCATAAAAGTTGGAATCATATAGAACCACAACGTGATTATGTTTCATATCTTTTTGTGTGATAACTTTGTTAATACCACCATGTTCACGTGAGCAAGATCATAAGATAGTTCATGCCTCATGTGAGTATTTAATATTTGACAATGCAAGAATTGATTGTGATAGTTCTAATAGCAAAAAAAACTGAGATTTGATTAAATTTTAAAAAGAAAAAGATCCTAAAAATATTTCTGAATTTTTGTAATTTTATTAGCATTTACATTTTAATCATAAAAATTGCTAATAATTTAATAATATAATTAAGAAAAAATTTGAAATTCAACAATAATTTTAACATAAATTTCACTAATAAATTTCACTTTATACGAATCACATATGAAAAATGCATAAAAATATGAGTCAATTTTAATCAAAATTTTCCAAGTTACTATGAGGTAACTCAATTATTGGTTAACTCTAGATGATACAATTATGATTACTTTTTATTAATCAGCAGTAATTTCAGTAAATGATTTAATGTTTTTGGTAGACATTGCCTAGCTAGGGCGAATCACGTCTCGCTTGTTTTGAATTTTGAAATGCACATCGTTTAATCAATATTATCAATAAATCCAAAAATAATATATCTTATAACTAAAGTTTTATAATTGCAAAGTATAATTTGGAGTTGTTATAAAATTTTTGGCACATATAGCGTATATTTGGAATCTAATTCTCTGTTCTTTTAAATTCTACTTTCCTTGAATCCATGTACAGCAATTGAAGTTTTCCTCATAACTATGGAATTCTTTTGATCGCTTTCTTAATCTTCTGAAGTTTCTCGAATCAATTTCGAGAACCACATAAGTTCGGGTTTAATCTGACTTCGGACATTTCAGAAATCTCTATGTTAAAATCAGAAAATTTCTATGTTAAAATCGCAAATTTAATCCGCACAGAATTATGCACTGCACAATCTGTCCCAAGGTGTGGATAAAACCTTGAAGGGTTGACTGCGAGGGATATTTTGAGGAACATGTAAGGTTTTGACATTGTCGTGGGCCTCAGGGTCTGAGCAATGACCACCACGTTGGCTGTGCAGAGCACCCAGACAAAAGAAGGCCCGCATCGTACATGCAAAGTGGGTCAATGATGTGGACGTACTTTCTGAACCGATATCATCAGCTACAAATGTCGGAAACTGATTGGTCCTGGACTCCAGGCATCTCCTGGACAGCACACCTGTCACTGCCTACTTTCCTAGCCTTTCAGTGACACTCAAGCTTCAGGACTTAAGGTCCACAAACATTCAATACAAGCTGGAACCTCATCTATATGGATATGGAAACATCTTGGACATTTGAAATAATCTCGTCTTTTCTCGTTGTCACCGATGGTAAGAGAGTTGTTCATTCTACCATGATGTGTATATAGTTTGAAGAGTATGTGCAATCTCTCTTGTGGGTACTTGGTAGACGACCTGAATCATCCAAGGACTCTGAATAAAGCGGTCTTCAAAGAATTCATTTTCGTTACTCTAGCCTCGAAAATTATGGGGTTGTGCTGAATTGAGGCTTTGACACCTTGGAAGAATTAATGAAAGCCAACAATAATAGGAGACATAGGCTAGTGATTTTGATCGTAAGCAAGGAATAGGATAGGGCCTAGGACGGGGCTTGCTTTTTGCTCACTCACATTAGGTTCCGTCAAATCATGAACATCCTGGTCCACAATGATAGAATGTTCAAATTCTCGATATGTGAATGAGACAGCAAAATTACTCGATGAAGTGAAGTTTTGCACAAATTGTGGACCCATGTCTCTTCAAAATTCAGACTACGACAATGATAGAATGTACCAAATTCTCGTAGAATCTCTCGTAGAATCTCACCAAGAGATTCTACAAACTCTTGGTGTTCGTCATCACCTACAGGGCCAGCTGGAACATTCGGCTTTTAGCCTATGTCTCACAGGCAAGAAATCTTATACAACTCTTCCTTCTCTATTTGCACGTGGGATTGGACATGACAGGTCTGTTCATCGTAAAGCGCGACACTAGCAGGAAGATTTTCTATCTTCAGTTACAGAGCCGTGGAATTTTGGGTGTGCTTTTGAAATTCTTGCCAACAGGAGTTAACATGGGACAATGCTGCATCTCACGACCAAAATTTGGCTCTTTCACAAAGCAGCTCTGAACTGTTGAGGGATGCGGAAATCTACGTTTCTGAATGTCTTACTGCAGGAAGGACTTGCTCATGTAGTCTGTCCAGGATGGATGTGCCGGTATATTGAAGATAGAAAGTAAAAGGACAATTTGGGAGTTGAAACGGAATCTAGCTCACTCTGCCGTTCACTCCGAAGTTGCATCACCAGCGGGCCACGGGCTCGTTCAGTCACCCGTCTCGCCATACCCAGTGACCAACCGCACTACAGCCGCTGACCGAGCCCATGAGATACAACAGTGCGATCCTCTCAACCCAAATTGTCTGAAATCTCTTCTCATCTCATTTATGGGATGGGACCTTGGAAAGGGGATTGTTGTTCTCAGCTGGGTTCTGGTCCGAGGTTCCAAACATATATTCTTCTGACTTTCCCCAATCAAAACCAGCACTGTTTGAGGTTGGAGAACGCCAGGGACGGTTTGGAGCAACCCCATGCTCACTCACATGGGTACTCATAGATGGAGAACAGGAACTGTCCATGTCTCTCTCTCTCGACCGGGGACTGCACGAGCGAACGCCACGTGAACAGAAAGACTTCGCGGGCATTTGATCTCGAGCAGATTGAGATTCGCTGCAAGGCAGGAATCCCCGTGGCGGCTGCACCTGCTGCTCATGTCTGAGTTTGACGGCTACGCAAAACTCGTGCTTCTTCTCAGATCCCGGCCGTACGTAAGTTCGTAGCCCATTCCGCACATTCTTCATACGCATGACGTATGCGGCGTACTACAGCTTTCCCACTAGCCGCGTTCCACATTTGCGGCATCCTGCCTGACGGAGACTGAGAGAGCGATCGCACAAGATCGGCAATGGATAGGGACAGATCCGGATACTTCGCAGACTACGGAAGAGAAACCGACAGAGCGCTGAGAGTCCCGCAGGGACCGTGCCGGTAAATCGAGAGTCGTTTACCCATCGGACAATCCACACCTACCCGCCACTCTGGGACTCATGGGCGAATGCCACTTTGGGACCCTGGGACTCTGGGACTCCGGGGACCCTGGGTCCCACACTAAGCGACGCTCGATCCCATCTGAAGGACTCCCGGGCTCCGTCCCTCTGGCCTCTTCTCGGTCTGAGCTCGATTTTGCATTCTCGTGCTCGAGTGCTCTGGCGGGTCGATTCTGCAGCAGATGGTTCCATTGCTGGGTTGGCGTCTGGTGTGAGGTGCTATTCGTGCCAGGAGGCAGCTGGTCGCGTTGTCTCGAGGTTGCAGGTTCTGTTCTGGTCGGTGGTTTTGGTGGCGGATGTGACTCCACCACGCGGAGATGGAGAGGAGTCTGAAGGGCTTGCTGTAGTGGGGTGGAAATTTGTGGACGGTTTGCGAGGTTTTTATGATATGGAGGCTTCTTTGGTAGTTAGTCGTTTTTGGAATCCTCGGGCGTCAGCCGGCCAGCAGCTCGGATTGGCTTTGGCGTCGCCCAGCGTACCAGCGTGCAGAAATGGAGTGAGGGTGGGTTTCTCTGTCTTCTCTTGCATCTTGCAGATGCGTTGAATGTGTTGAACCCTTTGAATGGACCAACGATGTGGACTAGAGCTTTCAGATCATCTTGACGACTTTCTGTCAATTTAGCGAATGTCGGAACTTTGTTTAGTCCCCTTCGTGCTATCCCGCGGCTCAGGGTCTCGACAGTTCTGCTTCTCGAACAGCGAATCATTTCGGTTTGTTCTATGCTGCTTTCATTTGAACGACGCTGTAATTCTTGGTACCAACGAACTTTCGATTTCAATGTTCTTCTTCCTCACTGCTGATAATAATTATCATTTTTGCATGAACATACATTTTCAGTCGTGAAACTTAGAGAAATTGCAGATTCAGGTTCCCCCACTGATGGCCAATTGAGCTATCTGTCCCTGGGACGGGAGTAATCGACACTTTTAGTTTAGGTCTAACAGAAACTGAGAACGGCGTGGATCGACGTTGAGATCAGAATGTGTATCACCTGGGCATGACTTTGATCATAGACGAGGAAAAAACAGAGATTTTTTCTTTTATGTGTAAAACTCCTGAAGGTTGGCGACATTCCGAGAGTGACTTTGTGGAATCCAGCATTAAGTGCACATGCTCAGGTCCTGAATTTTCCATTCACTAAATTCTGAAGGCCAAATCGATCACTTTATTTCTGTCAAGAAGCGCTTAACATGCAAAAATTGGTTTGAGACTGGTTTGGTATGGACATTGGATTCATCGGTAACCTGCGCGGTATCACGTTTGTGGACAATGTCGTAATTAGCCCTGAATTTCCTCGGGTATATGTTCCATGTCCATCGCAACAGCTTATCAGCTTATCTTCGTCATATTTTTGGTTTCGCAGGCTTTTTCCAGTTTCCGCGGGCAGCAGCTTAGTAGACGGCCACTCAAACATGTACTTTCAAATAAAACTGAGAGATTACCTGTGGGAGTAGCCAGATCCCATTCTCATCATCATCATCCTACACCAACTCCAGGGGTCCCACCAACAGGGGCTGAAGATGGAGCATTTTTGGATGACATGTCCCGCTTTGTTTACAAGAAGATTAGCGCTGCCCTTCAGCCCTACCTTCCCAAGGATATTGATTATCTCGACTGGCTCCCCGAGGGTATTCACAGCAAATTGCACAACTCCGAGGCTGCGGTAAGTTTTCTTGATGAATTGATGGACCTGTGCAAAACGCTCGACTAAAGTTTGTTGTTTGTAACGACCTATTGCAAAATGTGGTCTTGGAACTTTTTTCTTCGTAATATCTTCATCCGTTGCACATTTTATCTTTTCACTGTAAGTTTTCGCCCTTTCGAGCTAAGTTTGGTGCTGATGAAGGTAGCAACAGGATATCAGAGATCTAAGCGTCCATGGTATGTTGACAGACATGATGTCTCCCCTGAACCTTAAGAGTTCAAAGTTAGGTGCTGATAGAAGCCTGGGTCTGAATTCTGACTGACTCACTTAAAGACGTAGACTGAAGGAATCAGGAAGTATTACGTATATCCCCAAGCACGGCCTCGAAGTACTGATCACCCTCACAAACGCCTGGTCCATATTTTGAAGTGTTGTTTTGCAGACCATTGTAGACAATGCCAAGCTAGACGACTTCGTGCGTCAGGATTAGTTCCCATAGTAAATGCCTCCCCTCAGGCAGAGTACCCCTCCACATCCTTATAACCTGTAAAGATAACTTTTAAGAATCTCCCTACATCCAACTTTGGTAGTTCAATCCATTCTGTGATGATGGGTGTCCTTCATGATATGACAGGTTCTGAGTTTTCGGTAAGATGATATAAATTGGAACGCAAAAGATAAATCGTATGTACGCCCTTTGTCTTTTGAAGCTGTCTCTACTGGTTATTATATCCCTCTCTGGTATTTGTACTTACCAGCATCATGTACTAGTCTATGCCTTAGAAAATGTGGAAACGAACTGTCTGTCGGCTATCTTCAAGAAGCTATGCGTATTAAAGTCTTGGCGTTATTACATGTAAACCATCATGTGTTAAAGTCTTGCCGTTCTTACATGTAAACCATCACGTTTCCGTACTGTACACCAGAAATTGTATGTTGTCTATAGTTGGCAGACCTGTTGGTTTATGCCACAGAGGCGTTATAACAGTACATGCTCATCCAGTTAAAAATGGATTCTGTCCATAACGATATCCTCAGCTTGATTAATTCGGACTTTGTGTTTTGTGCTAGCCAACTCTGAACTTCCCCTTAAGGCGATCTCGTGCTGATACTACTTCGTGTGTTCTGCCTAGTGTAGAGACTTCTGTACAACAATCAGTTGGTTCTATCACTCGCTCACCTTATTGTCTTTACGAATCTGCAGGCTATACTTGTGCTGCGCGAGTTTTTTCATTTTGGACTATTCTATTTCGTGTTCATTCGAGTCGATGGCTTCTGCAAGTGGTTACACTGGTCAGTTTACTCTCCTTTGTGTGCTCGTGGTTGCAAAATTTTGCAACGTAAGACAAAGTATGTGGAGCTTGTGGCTATTTCCTACACTCAAACGTTATAAAGTCTACTTGTCAGCATACTTGGATGTGGAATGGTTTATCTCGTTCATACACGTTTTAAACCTAGTTCTGTTATTTGCAGGCTGTACAATATCAATGTGAGGAAAGGAAAGAATTTGACAGATGAGGCCTATCAAACCTCCAATTTCAATGTGATGACTGGTCCCCTGCGACTTCTTGTGGTGGTTTGGGCCGGCACTCGACTGTAAGTAACTGGACCTACCTGTTGTAACGATCTGCAACAAGAACAACTGTGACACATAAATGCTTAATTTTGATCTCTCTTTGAACTTAAGAACAATCCTCAGCAGTCACCTGAACAGTCTTTGTTTAGCTGGGCTATGGAAAGTCTTAAGGATAAGTGCTAGATGGAGACATGCGGCTTCTTCTTCTGAACGAATGAAGGCAGGAACTTGATTGAGGTTCTTTAATGTTGGATATTTATACGAAACCTGTTAATGGGATGCGGTAGTCTCGTAGTTGGACCTAGTAACAAGTTCGTAAATTATCGAAATGTCTCAGGGAAACGACTCCTGTTGTTGTGGATGCAATTTACCCCAGATTGGCCTTGGGTTGGACATACGTAGAAGTCTTGTCCAGCACTTTGTTTATACGGAAGCCTTTTTTTCGGTTAGAGGTTCTAAAAAGTCTGAGCGAATTGCGAGTTTGACCTTCGGACTCATCAGTTATTGCTCTTTTGTTGGGAATGTACAGTTTAAGTGTCTGCGCTCCGCTTCTGAGAATTAAACTTGGAGTTGGAATGATCGCGAAGACAAGGGAAACCGCGATAGTAGTAGCACTTACGTGGTTTTGTTTCAAATGGAAGCAAAAATATGTGGAGCATCTGACCACTGTATACAAACTTGACGCTGTAAGTTCAAGTTCTTTTAGGTTTCCTCAAGGCTTTACGTAAGGTCGCATCCTTCTTCACCCGTGCGACAGGTTTTGTCATCTCTTTTTGGTTTCGTGATCATCTCGCCATGTTAAGATTGTTTCTGTGTTCTCATTATGGTTCATAACATGAACGTATTCCTTCTGCCTCATCCATGCGCAAGAGATCGGATCTATTTGATTGTTTTAATTTCTGCGGTTTGTATATTTCACAAATTTTCAGGAAGTAAGGAAAATAAGGGACCAGACATTTGAATCTTGAAACCTATCCCGAGAGTCCATATATACAAGCATATCTACCTCGAAGTTGGAGAACTAACTTGTCATCCGCTTTGTTGTGCCAGCCACGTATTATTGCTTTCGACAAGGTTGTATCCCTACTTATGTACTTCGTAGCTCTGTCCTGCATCGGGGAGGTCAACGGATTTGCTCTCCGGTCTCTTTTGGCTGTCGGAGGATTTTCTGGTAAGGGACCTTGCAAACTCTTGCAATGCATTTTTCTTAGGCCCCCGCTGAGGAGAAGTTTCTCTACTTTCCCCATTTGCTCTGCTAAGAAACTGCTTTCGGCAAATCAGCAGAGTTAGCTGCAAAACTCATTGCGTCCCGTTGTTGTACAAACAGGAGTTGCATTGGGTCTGGCAGCGAAGGAAATTGTAAGCAACTTTTTTGGGGGTGCTTTACTCTTCATCACGAGGCCTTTTGTAATCGGAGAGCGAATTAAGGTACGTGCTTTGTCCTTTTACTTCCCATGACCACAGCACGAAGGATCCGTAATATCACGCCTAGTCAAGTCAAGCGTAAGAGAGTTATCACAATGCGAAGATTCTGCAGCCATATCAGATCTGGATGTTCGTCGCTGACCTCTCAAAGCAGAGAAACCTGCACAGTGGCACAGCCTTTTGGATCACCTATCGCTTGAAAGCCACCTCGTACCGTACATGGACTCTGATACAGCACCGCCGTCCAAAGGAAAAGCTTATATTCCGAAGAGATCTGGCAACTGGAAAACACGGGTCACCTCGATCGAATCAGCTCAAATGAATTGATTAGTATATCCAGGTGCTACTCTAATCTGACATGATACTAGATAGCCACGGGTCAGAGATATGTACGCTACCGTATGCGATCAGCGATCTGATATAGTACGTCATTTAATGATCTACGGATAATGGCGAATAGACAGTCTTAGTTCGGAGCGAGGATACAAATATGCGTTCGTAAACGAGTTTGGACGTAGTAATACGTCCAAACCTTGAGGATGGACAACAAGCCTTTATAGCTCAGTGGTAGAGCGTCAGTCTTGTAAACTGAAGGTCCGGTGTTCGATCCACCGTGGAGGCACCTTTTGCGCCTCGGTGTAGCAACGGTCGAGCCGGAGGAGTCGTCCCCGCTTTTGTCAACTTGTCAGCCCTTCGCTCGATGCCGGAATGCTCACTTATTCTCCACACCACAAGTCTTAATTAAAGTGCTTATTCTATCTACTACATAGTCTCAGATTCACGTGAACATCGACAAACTATCAGTATTTAGCACCGAGAATACTTAGCAATATTCTTTAGCGAGAAAACTTAGCAATAATTTTTAGCGAGAATATTTAGCAATATTAGGCCAATATTTAGCAGCGAGAAAAGCTAGATTTATTTGAGATACAGTTCCCTGACTTAACAGGCAAGTAGGGTGCCACCCCATAATTCAGGTGCGTGTGGTTATAAAAATAAGGATCGATGCGACAATCTCACTTTAAGCTGCGAAGGCAAGAAGCGTTTAGGTCCAAACGCAGAGAGAAAGCTCGAGGACCTGTCTGTCCCCCATGACAGGACACGTCAGACGACTGTGTCAGATCCTAGTCACAGGGTGAACCTAGTCACGCTGTGACAAGGATCAGATTGGGAGGATGCGGATGGTGTGAATTGGGACTTAAGTGCTCATGCGCCGCCGGGGTATGTAGCGGCCCCGTAGTCTAGTGGTTAGGACATTGGACTCTGAATCCAGTAGCCCGAGTTCAAATCTCGGCGGGGCCTTTTTCGGTCAGTTGATCTGTTGAAGCCTGCGATGGCCTCGTCGGGATCGATGGGGCTTACGAAGAACATGAAGTTCCTTCTCTTGGTCAGAGGGTCAAAATATCCTTCCGTGCATGAATGACGTGAATCAGGCATGACGGAGTATTTTTCTTCCTTGCCACTCCGCTGAATCACAGAGATGCAGCAGATCCTTTTATTCTGTAGATCGCGGCGACATTTGAGCCCTTCTTGCCGCAGACTGTCGATTCCCGTCTCCATCGAATTCGATGTGGGAGGGAGACTTCGTAGTCTGATGGCTTCAATTGATATAAGAATGATACGAATCGTAGATCTGTCTGTTGGTATAAGTGCCATGCAAACATACTCCACGAGAGAAGCAGCCGAATGCTCCAATTTGTCCACATTTGATGGTAGGAAAAAGCTTTTCTGAGCAGCCTATGCATGGCCCGAATTGGAAGCCAGAACTTAGCGATGAGCTGTTGTGTGCCCGCACACTTGTGTGTGGTGTTTCTGCTGGAGAATCTGAGCTGTCTGTCGTCATGGATTTGGTCCGGATTCTTCGTGGCACGTTCCTCTTTCTGAATCGACTTGGGAAGTTGCTGATTCTGGATGCGTGGGTGGTGGATGCAGGCTGGAAATACCGCTGGCTACGTGCAAGATATTGGATTTCTGCAAACGAAGATTCTGAGCACCGAAAGGGTTCCTATGATCGTACCAAACCAAAGCTTCATCAATCAGGTCCGTACTGTCTTGTGCGTCCACCCCTCCGATAACTGACTTGACGACTAGAGTTGGCGATTTACGTGTGGGCTGCGATGGCTGACAGGAGATCACGTGCCCCCAGTCCGCTATAGCAGCTTACGAAACAATGAAAGACATTCACACGTCCTCAACTCGCATACTGAATTCGTCAATTGGTCAACTTCTGCTGCTCACATCGAGAGCTTCGTCAGATCCTCAGGATGGATAATAATCGGGCAGTCTCACCATGGGCAGAAATGCAGACGACTAAAACGAACTGATTTCTGCACCTTGTTAGCTAACGCACCGTAGATGACTGCAATGCCTGGTGATAACGCTGCAAAGCTTTACAGCTCCGTGAGTAGTGATGCTGACAGAGCTCGATGATTTGCAGGTGATTACCAATTACTCCAGAGCAAACAACAAGTTGCTGGACGCAGCGTTTCCGATTCGCATCCAAGATATCTTTCACGTGGATCGGATCACCCAGCGCGTTGCAAGTTACTTGAAGGCAAATCCAGATGTTGATACAAGCAAATCCACTCCGGTGTGCTACTTGAAGTCTGTACATGAGGGCGGAGTGCAAATTGCCATGACTTGCATTGTTCGACCAACAGTAAGTCCTCCACTGCTAAATTTTCTTCAAATTATTTTGCCCATCAGATCACGTCTTCCAAACTCCCGGACCTCATTGACATGAGATGACAAGTTCTTACTATGTTCTGAAGGACTGAGTCGCGAGTGATTTCATTGACAGATGTGGTTGCGATGAGTACAGCTCTTGTCATCCTAGGAATATACCTCAATTGTGCCTGTTCATGCTGTTAAATGACGCTCGGGATTTAAGCAGCCTCCCTTCTATTTTGTGGAACGAGTCCTCTCGAGCGTCAGTTCTTCTTTCCTTATTTCTCAGCTCAGCCTCTGTTCTTAAACTGTACTAGTTGCATGTATCATCACATGGAGGACCTCCGTGTCGATAACTGGCAACTTACGTCTCTTTCTCCCTTCGGTCTCAGATGACAGAAAGTTTCTAAGGTCCACATATTTGGAATATATCGCTCAACTTAAGTATTCCCCTCTCAGTCGGGGATGATCCTATTACATTGAAGAACATTCTTTCCTGTCTTGTACGGGTCGCTTACAGTTGACGAATTTCCTCGATTTGAGACCTGATCAAAGCCGAGGAACGTACATGTTGATTCGAGATGCCAAATCCTCTTGGATTCTCCGCATCTTTCTTAGAACGTGTGATCCGAAACGTTCTGATTGTATTCTTCCAAAGTTGCTTTCTTCTTACTGCTTCACCTGGTAAGCGATAAATGGATTGAAGAGACACAAAATCTGCCGTAACCAGACCGAAGTGTGACAGTGAAGGTTTCATGTTTGTCCTTTTTTCTTATATTCTTGTGTGTTGGTCAAGATAACCAGCAAAACACAACAGATTATGATCTGACCAAAAAACAACTGTCCCTTGACTTTTGAAGTCCTTTTACAAGCTGACATCTCTCAGCTGCTTGTGACTTCACTTGACTTGCGTTCGACTTTCGTTCAAAACTGCCCACAACTCACCGGGCAGCATTCCAGCTCTTGTTGTTCTTGTTTGTTAGCATCAATGCTTCCAAAAACTGCTCACTTGGAGGGAGGGAATTACGTGGGCTTGAATGATCATTATATGCTCGTCGCTAGTCCGCTGTGACCACGAGGAGAACTCAACTGGGTTACATACTGCATAGCTCAACTCCTCTTCTTTTGATTGTGGAATCAATGCTGTGCCTGGGTTCCTGTGACACTTGTGGGTGTTGCACACGAGCATCCACACGCGTGCAACATTCCCGGAGTGAGCCGACAGGTCACTCAAGGGAAGTACGGAGCTCCGCACTGATGTCTACGCTATAACATGATGTCACCAGCTCAAGCACCGTTGCTATCTTGTGCCAGTAACCAGAAGACATCTGTGGTGCACTTTCTGCTCTCGATTGTTGTGATATCATCTAAATAGTGCTTTCCAGATTCTGTCTTATGACCTGGTGTGTTTTGGAGTATGGGCTACACTTGCTTGTCGAGCCTAATAGTCCGAAGATATAAGAAACTCGAGCTGTGCGTCTTTTGTGTTCATCGGATCAATTTAAGACGAACTAATAGCCTTTTCTGGGATTCCTGTCACTCTTGTGAGTGTTTGCCCATGCAGATGGTTGCTTAGTTACTGAATTGCGTTCCTCCTTCAGGTCTTGTGCTCTTTTAGAGTCTATCTTGGGATAAGTACAGATGACGACAACGACGAAGTTCTAAATGTTTTGAATTGATCTGATGCTATTTGACCGACGTCCTTCTGGTCAATCTATATTCTCTAACGTTCGACAATTTAACTGACTTGTTTCTTCCTATGTTGGTGTCTCCATTCCACAAATATCTACCTAACCTCCATTACATTTGCCGGTGTTGCTTGAGGTTGCATGGACTTGTGTTTTGTCGTTCATATTTAACTTATTACTCAGGCATATCTTGCATATCCTGATTCACAATCGGTGGGTTTTTCAGGGAGGGTCGGAGTTCTACAGAGTCCAGCAAGTCATTCTGATGCGAGTGGCGGAGATCATTGTGAGCGAAGGTGCATCTCTTGGAGCCAGTGGACAGTGGGCTCCTGATATTCCTCCATGGGCTATGTGCCCAGAGCCGACCCCTGGACTACTTGACGACACTCCAGTCACGTAAATCAGCAGCAGCAGGGAAGGAGTTCATGTAACTATTTGCCTCGTACAAAGACGCTGTTTAGCTTTAATATACGACTGGCAAGGAGAAATGCCTGTCATGCGATTGTGAGCAGTCAGATCGATCATCTTTTCTATCACTTGCAGTGAGCCATTGTACAATACTTCCGAGCAATAAATCATGACACGACTTAAGCTGTGTTCGTACACTGTGAAGGGGTCCCAGTTCTACTTTAGGGACGACCTTATCTCATCACATGTCGGAGTGTGACACTCATAATAGTAAATGGCACAAAAAGCTCTGACCTGGAGTTGAACACCCTTCTCACATACTACACTGAGCCAAGAGCCGACCAAATCTCTCGATGTCTTCTGAGTACATCTCATTACAGCTGTTGCGCGACGGTTTCATAAGCTCCTGCTTTAAGACCATGAGAACGAACTTCCGTGCTTCATGATCGAAACATCATGACTTCCGTTCTTCCAAACGTGTCTGCCTGCTAGCAGACCGCAGGAGACAACTGTCTACCAGGGCGAACGGCATATACCGGAAAGCTTACGTTATATAACATGAATCGAAGGAAAGTGAACTGGTATTTTTGCACGGCCGATGTCTGAGAAAAATATCACCACCTTCTCGTTTCGTCTAATGAACACTGTGTTGGCACGAGGCATGCATGTGTGCAGATGGAAAAGCGTGGCTCTTAGATACCCTTAATAGGTCGGTTGTGGGGATAATGAACACTAGAGGTAAAATCTGAGACGGGTCTCCTGGCAGTCGAAGTGCATGGCTGAGGTCACAAGGAGGGTCTGTCTGTGAATCTATGGGCTGGTGTAATGCCGAGCTTGTGATGGCAGACCGGGATGAATTTGAGTCTGGCAGATGAAAATCTGTAGCTGTAAACAAGCAGGCTCGGTGGTTGGGGTAACAATCAAATGCTTTGGAAACTTTGAAAGATCCGGTCTTCGGTGTAGAATGGAAATTCCTTTGGTCAAGATCGTTATGACTCGAAAAGGTCATCACATCTCATCTAAACCGGAAAAGGTCTCAAGTCATCTCGTAGCTCCATGGCCCACTCGATTGTCATGTACATGATGTGGACACCGAGGGCCACAAACCTAGGGGCACAAGAACCGATTTTTCTTCCAATGAGGGGTCTGAACGCTCCAATTGCCACCGCATTGCAGTTGAAAGAGAAGGGAGCCGGTTGGATCCTAGTTTCAATTGATCAATCTGCAGCGCTTGCACCTCGTGCCACATGGAGCACTCCACGAGAAATGCGGCCTCGAAAAGGAAAGAGGAGACTCTGAACCAACTTATCTTGCGGAACCAATGACCAGGATCCGCTGCTGCACTACGATCCACAGGACATGTGATGTGTGCAGTAAAGTACTAAGTGCGAGGGAGAGAAGTAGATTTGACCAGTTCTTCTCCTATGAACGGGGAACCTACGCCGAGACTTCTGCTCGAGCACAATTCACGAGCCTTCTTAGCTCCCTAGTTAGCTAACATGCCCTCGGTCCAGATACATTTCGAGAAGAATTTACATTGGTCTTTGGCCATTGGCCAGAAACCTATAATGATCGCGAGTACAAGAGCGAGCCTGTTCACTGTTTCCTCTCATCCACTTCCTGGAAACCTCTGCCTCCAGAATCGAGATCGATGGGGTCGTTTTGGTGGTCAAACTAGCTGTGAACGTGAGACTCTCCACACATTCACAGCTGATCTTCACAAGTACTCCTACCTGCCTTATTTCCATCGCCTTCACTTCTACAGCAGCCTCAGAGTGTACCCCATACGTACTCTGAGCCTGGGTCAGGAATTAGAAAGAGCAGGGGTCGAGCTTCGGAATGCTCAAACCCAAACGAGGCACCGCGCTTCCTGGCTGCTTGGCTGCCTGGCTGCCTTGCTTTCCTTGCCTTGCTTCGTCCCAAAAAACCTCGCTGTTGCAGAAATCAGACATCACACACTTGAGCCTACTCGTAGACTGAAGCTCTTGCAATGCAGGTGCTGTTGGAAGGCGCTCCTCGAAGAGTCTAAGGGGTAGATAGCTGTCACTCTCATGGCGCAACTCGCTGATCACGATCGTGCTAGAGGCCAGTCGATTGCTGATGTCATGATGACATGGAACATTTTTTGCCGCTGACGGCATGAAGCTCTTCAAAACGCACCGTAATGGAAAGGAACAAAGTCTCGGGTCGATCAACGAGATGGAAACAAGATGGAGTCTTTTTACTGTGATGCAAAGGTACAAGTCCCAGATACCGTACAGGCGAGGAATGATTTGAGAAAGGCTCGGGAGAGCTAGGGGACGAGTCGGTAAGGTTTCGCGAGTTGCTAATTGCTGTCGGGAATTAGAACTCATTCTATTTTTGAAGCAGGCGAAGAGATCCGGTCTCCGAGTCAACAAGTGCGTCGAGAGTCGGGCCTGGAGTTTGAGATAGTCGAAAAAATCGAGCCGGACAAACGAGAGGAGGCCCAGATCTGAAAGGGGCCGCGAAAACTCGAGATGCAGGCAAGGGGGGGCGCACCTGCGAGAGCATCTCGTATGTATCGTCCACACATGCGCGACAAACTGATGCACCTACTCGAGTTGAAGCAGCTCATATTACTCTGGGACTGCGACATGAGAGGCCCTGATGACAATCATGGCTGCCATATCCATCCACGCGAGGGCCAGAGCTTCGGAAGATAGTCAACCAGGCCCACCTCCCCACCTGACCTCCGTCCACTCCTCGCTCACTCTTGCATCTCTTGCAGAAGCCTTGACTTTACGACCACATGCTTACAGGACCTCTACAACCCTTCTACAACAACAACCAAACCTGCTGTGGAGCATTCCACAAATGCCTCCCTCCGCTGCACTGCTCACTCTCCTTCTTTCATTCTGGGTTTCGTTGCCGCTTGCATTGACTCGAGACGATGCACGAATGACTCATCCTTTCTAACTAACTTTGACCGCTGAAGAATTTTGGATGGCTGCAAAAGTGCTATGTCACGGCAGTGCATCATTTACATTCAAATCGAGCTCCATTGATCCGGGGCCCGGACAGGAGTGACCAGTACCCGGGTGACATTATCGATGTTCGAATTCCGGCTGGAAGCCCATGCTCAGCGTGAGATACAACGACAAAGTTCATGGCTCGCTCTCGCTGTCGTGACCCACAGCCACACCGCGATCATAGTGACTGCTGCCTGTTGCGCATTGCGAGTCACTTGCTCTCTCTTCGTCCTTCTCCAATCACCTTTGATGCGATTCAATTGATTTCGGCTCAGCTAATCGCAGCTCAACCCAACTCCAATCGTGCTGCAGACAAATTAACCCGAGCAACCAGAAAGTTCGATTTTTCTTAAACAATTGGTGCTGGTACTTCACAACTGGAAAAGGAACTCTGTCTGGAAGTTCTAATTTCAATCAATGAGCGCGCTGGCTCATAACTAAGTCAATGATAATCTGATGAAGGAGAAAGAATATCATGAACGCAAAGCAAAGTCTCCACACCACACCAGACTGAAGCATAAGTTCGAAGCACAAGTTGTGATATTGTGTGGGAAGGATGAGGTGTTGTATTACAGAGAATGAGGCATCTGATAAAGCGGTAGCTCAGCTCGGGTAAGCTACAAATGTGAGGAGGAAGCAGACGATCAGAGAGATCCAGATATAGAGACAAAGCACTGATAAGGGATCTGAAAAGACAGATGTCAAGATTCACAGCTTTTGGATGTGGCCGGCAGTTTGTATTCAAGCTCTCTGAGGAACTGCATGCTGATGATGCTGCAGCTGACCAGTCGTTGCAGCTCACACAAACAGCAGGCGCGGGACGGCGGAAAAAACAAGCTGAATTAAAGGTGCTAGAACAGGGCAGATTGTACGATTAAGGAGGGTATAAATGTCATTCGCAATCGAGTCCAATTCATCACTCAGACCAGTCACAGAATCCGCCCACCATCCCGGTCTTGCAGTCGCTCCACCACTTGCTCTTCATGCTCAGCATGACCACACAACGTCCAGCCCACTTTCACATGTCAGTCAGTCTTCACTCTTTTACACCTGCATGCATTCATTTCTTGCATATTTCCACGTACATCTCTTCCACACCATAGTTCCCGAGCCCAATTTCGTAGGGACTCGAATGATTCGATGTGTACTGGGCATGTTTGAAGGCTGCTCCCTATTGGATATGTCCTGGTACCTCTCGATGCAAGTGCTTGAGATTTGGGTGCATTCTACATTCAGTATATGTATATAAATATGCTCCATCCCAAGTCCTGAATCTTCCGAGGCCGAGTACAATCAGTTCATTGCAGAGTGAGTGGCTTCACGAACATCAAAACCCGGATGCAAGATTCAAACTCAGCTCGTTCGAGTCAAGGTTCGTGGTAAGATTCTTATTCCCAAAATGTGTCCCGGACGTAGACTGTAGGCTGCATGGGAAGTATTGTAGAAGTATCTTGAGAAATAACTTGAAATTTGATCAGCATGTGTCCTCGATCATATCTGACAGAGTACATCTAGTGTCTGACGGCTTCACTTAGATCCAAAGTGCATATCCTCGTACGACGAGATTTTTATAAATTTATTTATTTATTTCTTTTTCCCATTGCATGGTGTGTTCAACCGCAGGAAGATCTGCTGACCTTGCTATTGCTTTGAGGCTCAGTTTTTGCAGAATCTGTACGTGCCAACTCACAGCTTCCATGCATTGTGCAATTTCCAGCGGTTAAACCTCTGGATCAATCGTAACATTTTAGTGTATCAGAGCATCTCATCAGGACCAATTACCAGACTGTTTAAGGCAGTACTACCAGTCACTTTCAGCTGGAGAATAACTGCTCGTTTCTGATTCTACACTCCAGGTCTGGGTTGATGGTCCGGCCTTTGCTCAATCAGCCTACCTCAACGCAAAGATCCAGATCTAGATGTTTCATGATGGATAGAAATCCAGTGCTCGTGACGATCACTGCGGTTTCTTGGACTGAACTCCTTGACTAGTAATTCGTTTCCCTTTTTCCAGTTTCAGCATTATCATGCATTGCTGGTAGCCTAAAAATTCTACGGCTGAAGACGCCGTACACATTGCAGCTTGCGGCGGCTTTCTCCAGAAGTGGCATGTAAGCAGAAGGACAAAAGAGTCAACCACGAGTGTCCATTTGCACGTATGCATGCAAAGTGCTTTTCATGATTTTATGAGCTCAGTCCAGGCACTAACACCTAGGCACAAATGCTCTGGTCACTAGATTCGTAGGAAACTCTCGGGAGAGGATGAGGTGCGTCTTGCTCATTGATGGGCTTCCTTGGACCGCGGAGTATCAACAGTCCCAATCTATCGAGCAATGTATCAATCTGTTTTATGATCGGTTTTGGATTGAGAGATTCGATCGTTAGGTACGTAGCCAGTCAATTTCAGAGCACTTGCTTCGATGCCAATGAGCAAGTCTGAGTGGAACGAATTTTCGATCAGAAGCACCGTGCGCATGCACCTCGATAACTTCACTGCTCAGGTTATTATAATTTATTTTAGGATTACGTCAATTTCAAGGACATGAAACCAGTGTTTTCATTTACCTCTAGCAAATTGCGGACTCTGAGTTTCAAACGAAAATAATAGCTACAGAATAGAAACACGAGCGATGCAAGGCATGTGTGATAAGCAAGGCTCGACGATCGAAGTTTATATTAGAATTTTTATTTATATTGTGCACTGTTTGCTTTGAGTATCAGCTGGAATCATCACGGTGACATGTGCAGGTGTCTACCCACAGATAGGCTTACAAGCTAGGAGTAGATCATGGGGCGTAAAGCACCTGGATAATATCAATCAACGCACAATAGTGTTGACTTCTCTCTTCATCGCCCGGCAGCCAACGAGCCGATGTTGTACTCGTTCCAGCTCCAATTCAAGGAGCAAGGAAGCTGCAATGTCTGCAGAACGTGACATCGACATGAGTGAAACACCTGCAGCAAGGTTATGGATAGGGAATGCTAGCCGCTTGTAAGGGACACGGAGCCAGCTTCGAGCTCTCACAGTACTGCTCACGCATCTGCCGCCTCCCTTGCAAGCGGCTAGCAACCCCGATCGATTAACCTCTACTTGGACATGGTTTTGGGATATGCAAGCCTATTATCAGGACTCGGTAATTTGCCTTCAAGTCGCCGGGAAAAGGCTTAGGTGTTGTTTCTGCTGATACTCGAAGGTAATTCTCTTCTCTCTTTCTTCTTCCGCCTTCCATGAAATGAAATGAACTCGCTCAGAATCTCGAATTGATCTGGCCTTCGTTGTAAGTAAGTGGCACCTTCTCTAACCAACTTCAAAGAATCAGCTGATCCAGAAGTGGACCAGTTTCAGTTCGAGTCAACCGCATGGAAAAGTCTAAGTGGGGGATCTGAACAGAGATTAAATGATGAAGCATGCTAGCCGCTTGTAAGGGCCAACATTGCTTAGACGACTTCGCAGTCTCGTCCCTTGCAAGCGGTTAGCAGCCTTGATCATTTAGTCTTCGAGCTGCAACCTCGATATCGAAAAGGTAGGAAGGAATTCCGGTCAGCAGTGGTCCTGGTGGCTATCACAAGCTTGCGCGTTTTCATGTCTTCAGTCTTCAATGGCGGCTCCATGTTGTCATAAGGTGAATCCTGCATACACTAGATTCTGATGATAGAGAATGCTAGCCGCTTGTAAGGGCTGCCGACATTGATCTTCAGCAGATGAGGTCGTTTGCCATCCCTTGCAAGCGGCTAGCTTCCTCTGTCATCATCTGATCTCTCAAATTTATCATTTCTGGTCAAGGCGAAGCACATTCCAATACTTCATCAACACCGGCAACAAAGACTGCGGTGCTCCAGTGTCTGAGCAGGGTCTACAAGGATGTTGGTTACGAGTACAATACTCGAGTGATGAAGAATGCTAGCCGCTTGTAAGGGCCACTGGGAAACACTCCAAGGAGCACTGTCCTCTGGAATCCCTTGCAAGCAGCTGGCATCCTCCATCACTCGGTTTGAAATGAATTCAGAAGATTTCCTTGTTCAACAGATAAGCAGAGATGCAATGCCAACTCCCCACGTAGAGGAATGTCATCTTGTCACCACTGGCCAGTTCAATCCTTGAGCGGACGGGTCAGAGAATTCAGCTCTACTATACGACGAAGGAGGATTGACATCTACGACGCAACGTATACAAAACCAGGTCCTTGGTCCTGGGATATTCACAATGTGATGACATGCAAGAAATCATAATTGAGTATGCCAGCCGCTTGTGAGAGATCAACTACACAAACACTGAAATGTGGAATCTCTCCCAACCGACTAGCATCCTCGACAATCATTTCTTTGAATTTCTAATGCTCCTATAGGTATCCACATAATTAGACAAGGAAACAATTCGATAATTCGTCGGTACTCTAGTTTACAAGTACGTACATTGAGATTACATTAACGACTGTGCCACAGGAGAAGGATAAGAGTCTCCAGATTCAATGCGTGCAGAAGTTGAGGGGGCTGCGACACAAAACCATCTCCATGCAGGCGGATGTGATCTTACCAGTCCAGGTACAACATCCTTACTCTTGGATCATGCGAGTATCGAGTAACAGTTCGTACGGGCTGATGTCCTTAGCCACAATGGTGACGTTTTCTGTCATACGAACACAGAGAGACGCATAAGGTAATCAAACACTAGGAACATTGTTCAGTGAGAAGGTTCAAGATGAGATCACCATTTCATGATACTCAAATGAGGCTACGGTTATGTCAAATCTGACGATTGCAAATGTACTGCAGGTACTGAGCGCCATGGAAAATCCAGTGCGGGGATTGACGGACCTTTATCACTTGAGGCGAGATGATGGACTGAAGCCTCTGAATGCAAAATCTAAGGGGAGAGACTGAATGATGAAGCATGCTAGCCGCTTGTAAGGGCCAACATCGTTCAATGGAGATCACAATGTTTGTCCCTTCCAAGCGGCTAGCAACCTTGATCATTTAATCTTCTGAGCTATCATCCTGATCTAGAAACGCATTTATTGCAGAGCACAAGGCGAGTCATTATTACTGTACTGGTCGTTACGAACAATTATACTTGAATTATGCCACAGGCTTCAATGGTTTCCACAACGCATGAACAAGATTCTGATGATAGAGAATGCTAGCCGCTTGTAACGGCCGTCGACATTGATCTCCAGCAGATGAATACGTCGACCGTCCCTTGCAAGCGGCTAGCTTCCTCTGCCATCATCTGATCTCTCAATAACTGAGTCTGAAAAAGGTGAAGAGAGAAGTGGCTGGCGTACTCAAGTTATGTACTCAACACTTGAACAAAGACTTTGTGATAGAAGCTGGTTCTCAGCACAATTCTTTCATCGATTGGTGAAAGAACGCTAGCCACGTACGGGAATCGGGGAAAGAATCGAGTGAACATCATAATCCTCTCAGACCCCATGCGAGGTGCTTACATCGTCTATCACTCGGTTTAAGGTACTCCACTCGGTCTAGCATTGGGCTGATTTAACAAACGCGTGGATTTCAGGGCTCTTCACGCAGAGGAATGTAGTCCCGTCGCTGTGATTCATATCTTCATGCACTTGGATTAACAAATGCATGTATGTACGAATCAAAGCTATATGAATTCCAAAATGCAGGGCTCAAAGCACAAGGTCATTCATTACCTCTGGTTCTATTTATCTATTCTGTGTTCGAATCAGTTTGTGATCGCGGACGCGAGCACCTTTCAAGTCAAGGGCGAATGCATCCTAGATCGATGATTACTTTCGACGTTCCTTGCCAAAGGCACTCACTGTCCTAGACATGATGCATACGTGGTAGACATGGTGTTATAATGTTGTGTCTACTATGATAGACAGTGCGTGACTTTGGCAAGGAACGTCGATAGTAGTAATTGGTGGAGTATGTATTTGCCACTCCCTTGCAAGCGTGTCGCCTCCCCTCTCGCAAACTGATTCGAACACAAAAGTAATAGGTATCGTGTTTGGAACACGCTGGAGCATGAAAGAAGACATTGAGGTCACTGATTACATCACTCGCAGCGAAAAAAATATAAACAAATCTGGTTATTTAGAGATTTTGATTTTTTTGGATTTTATTAGGTATTAGTTTATTTGTATATTATATAATTTTGGTTATTTCATTTATTTTACATCAGATTCAATTCATATTATTATAATAAATAGTTTATTTTTATATTAAAAAATTATATTTTACAAAAATGATTTTAATAAAAAATATATTTATGATATTTTTTACATATTTTTTTGATATGTGCGAAAAATATTATTAATGACGGAAGTAATAATATAATTATATGTATTTATATAAATAATTTAATTTAATTCCTGTACATTTATATAAATCATTGTTCTCAAATTACCAAATATTAGATACAATCGAGAAAATTTTTAATTAATTTTTATATTATTACATAAAAATAATTATATAACACTAACTTACAATGGTAATTATAAATTATTATAATAATAATAAACATATTTACTAATTTTATTCATATCAATTTTGTAAATCAGCACATTCAAGACTGCATTGCGGGGGAGAAAGAGATGGATCGACTGCTGACTCGACATAAACCTTCGAGATTGTTGTTTGCAGAACTTAACACCCCAAGAGCAAGTTGGCATGAACCGGAATCTCCATCATCGATGGAGCACAGCGCCACAAGTTCTTACGGTTGTGAAGGTAACTCGATTCTCCCAAGGACGGCGGCCATTGGGACCGTCCAAGGAACGAAAGGTGAATCTACCCAAATCTTCAAGGATCGAGATCTGTGAATCCAAATGGAGGACCGAGGGTTGCACTCCATTAGTGGCAGCTGCTGTCAGTTGGGGGCGGTACCAAATCTGTGAGATCCAGGTTCACAGCTGGTCTGGTCGAGGGGGAGAAGAAGTTCAGGAGACCCCTTCACCCATGAACACACCTTGGACATGTTCCTGGAGCCCTGACGAGGGAAGAATCCGACTTCGGCAGCATTAGTTCCTTCGAGGAGCTCCAAGACCGTTTCCTGTGCACAAAAATGAAGTCAACCACAATTCGCTGGAAACTGCTCTAATCCTAGCGTTGGATTCCATGACATTGCTCAATATTGTACCTTGAGTTTCAAACGATTTGTGAATGCTTGAAAATTTCGTTAAGTTTGTCTGTGGGTTTATTTCTGGGTTTCGTACTCTTTGAGGTCATCTAATTCAAGTTACTGTCGTCATCACTATCTTGGACTGAAAGCTGTCTCGTGGAAACAACAGCCTCGAATCAGATTCAAGTGGCCACAAGAGCTGGCCACTTCAAATTGGGCCAGGAGCTGGAAAACTTTTGGTTTCGATAAGATGACAAAAGCCGAACTTTCTTGAAATCCTGGAAAATTTTTATAGTGAGAAAGCTTGAAAGAATGAAAGTAGAAGCGAGTACAGTCTGAAATTGGATTCCACTCAGTTGCATTCCGCAGGCTGTAGATCCAGTTCATCTTAGTTCTTTATCTTACTTTACAACAACTGCCCAGAACTTCGACTCCAAGTCATTTAAACTGCAAACCTCACAAGCGCCTATTGTGACAACTTGACTAGACCCTCGAAAGATCTATAAATACGATACCGTCCTGCAAACAAATTTTTGTTCACAAACTTGTTAGATCCATAAATTTCATGAAAACATGCCGATGTTTACTTGGGAAAGCATTCATGACTATAAGTAAATACTCGTAGTCATGATGTACTTTTGTGAGTTCTATATAACGTTTTCGTAGAAAATCAAACTGAATTAAGTATTTTGTGAAAAAATGTATGTTTTACAAACATACTACAATTATGTCAAACTCAATCTAATAACAACTGAAATCTTATAATAAAAAAATCAAAACATAAAACTTCAGCACTCAATCAAATATTAGTTGAACTTTTATACTAAGATAATCGAGACATAGAATTTCAGGAGTGTTCATTGGACTTGTAACATATTGTCATTGAGTTAAGCTGTGAGTTTTGTTTGATCTTTGAAAAACATTTCAATGTCTCAAAATTTTCTAGCAATTTTCATTTTGTATCTATATAATCGGATATATAAGTCAGTAAAATTTGAATATTTGTGATAAGGTCATAAAAATAATAGTTTTCTCCCATCTTGATTGAAGTGGTAACTTATTGTAAAGAGATAAAAATGAAAATTTACTTGTAATTTCAAATAAAGTCTTCAAAAATGATTATATTAATACTGTTTAAATCTGATAATTTAAACTCTGTTACTTCATTACTCAGAAAAATATATCAGTGATTTAAAATAAAATCATGAAAATCAGAGACAAAAGTTTATGTATCAATAAAAATTTTGTAGGTTAAATAGTTACATAGGTTTGCTTTCTATATCATCCTTCTCATCAGAAAAAATTCTCTAATTTTCTTACATTTAAGTTTCATTTTTAATCAACTACTTGATCAATTATTTTTTCCATATCAACACTCAAATTAACTTCAGAATTGAAATATAGGTTAGTATGTGATGATTTAAAATGTTTATTTACAACGTTATCAATATAATAACACTGTTAACTCACCTTTCTAACTTTAGGTCTGTATTGGTATAAGAGAAGGTTAGGCTTGAACCCACCAAAGTCTTCGTTAACGTATACATTATCAACATTTCTTTACAGTAGAAACATTTGGAAGAACATGTAAATCTTCATATCAATAATCTCTATTTATATTCATTATAAGTGTAATCACAAATATATGTGCGATAACAGTTTAATTAATCAATTTCTTTTGCAAAAGTTTCTGATCATAGATTATTTCATCATCCGGTATTCTGAGATTTCCCGCCGACCTCATATACTTTAAAACTTTATAAAGTTTCAGTTTCCACTGAAAGAGACGGTGATAACAATACTCAGATCCCTATTTGACTGTTACAGTGAACGTCGCTCAAAAAATTGAGCCACGTAGCATTAAACAAAATTACTGCAATTATTATTGCATTTGTGTCTCCTCGACCCTCGTATGCAGAGAATCATTTATGTAAAGTTTCAGAGACTTAGTTTTCATTAATTTCTTCTTTCTCTGCTCTGTTTAAGTTCGGCTGTGTTCTATATTATAGTTGTATCATTGTGACGATCAGGTGATGGGGAAGTGAATAAAAAGGATGCTGTCATTCAGGAAGATGGAAGTCATAAGCCACAACGGATTCATCAACACAAAACTATCAAATATTTTACAGGTGAATGGGCGAATGAACTGATTTGAGCCAAAGTCGAATCGTCGTCGTGAATTGAGTCACGACAACGATTGGACGACGATGTTTTTATGAAATACTTTAGGCAAAGCTAAGGACACTTCCGGCATAAGGACGGGTTTAGAGTGAGGAAGAAAAGGTGGCAGTAAGCTCTACGTCAGAAATCCACACTGCGTGTCTGTGCGAGGGGCACGTTGGACATACTGATCCACTTGACTATTAGTTGCTAACTAAGAAAATTACTTATGTATTTAGAATATCCTCCTCTTCTTTAACCCGACTGCAATTGCACTCTCCGTTAGCCGTATAAATTGCCAGCTCTCGTAATGTTATTAATCACATTCTTGTAAAATTTACTGTCAGATTCAGTTCAGTGTTGCTAAACTTGAAAGATGATTAGAAGGAAGTCTGGCACTAGATCTACGGTAGAAACAATATTTTAGCAAATGGTAGATTTGATGCACGTTTCTCTTTACTGGCAAACTATTGGTCTCAAGTTCAATCGAAACGTACCGATGTAATAATGATCACCTAAGAACTGAAATGGATTGTGCAATCAGACATTTGAGTCCAGATGCTCATGTACTGTCAAGCAGAGAGTTTGGACTGGTACAATCTTTTCAGTATGTGATTTCATGGTCTTTGTATGAATTTGTGATTGTCATGTTATGTTGTACATCAGCTGTGGGATAGATCATTTGACTGATGACAACGCTGTAGATATACGAGAGTATTAATTAGGTGGAATAAGCGTTCATGTTTTGAGCAAAGTGCACTAAATGCAGACCTACCACAATTGATCATTTAGATATTTTAATCATTTTCATTGTTAGATTCTGATCATATTTAATGAAAGTACCTTTATGAACTCTCTACTTTAGTTTTACATTTCATACGAAGGGGCTTGGATGCAATGTCATGCTTAATTCGATACTAAAAGATGACTTCCTGGAAGTGACTTTTTATTAGTGATTATTAATACTCCTGTTAAACATGATTGGTAAACTCGTGGGTCATCCCAGGATCATGGATCTCGTTATCCCTTTTTAGGATCAACCCTAGGATGAGCAATATAGTGCTAAACCATATGGTGACAACTTAGAATTGATGTTGTGATAGTCACTTGCATCCGTAGATTATGTATTTGGAAAGGTGGTAATATTACCTTACGGTTAAATATGACTGCTGAGTAACCTGAAAGAATAATACTCTAAATTCTAAATTTGATGGAAAGTTTATCTGTTTATTTCGGGAAAAAAATAGTGAAATGAAATGTTAGAAAGAAATCTTCATATGATTGAATCTCGTCTAGCCATAAAAATAAATAGATTAAATAATTTCATCTTTTTTTACGAGGTTATGGTAGAAGTTTTCTGATTTATCTCCGCGTTTGAAAAGTATGGTCAATGGCCAGTTGATCTTTGTTGATGACCATACATACCTTGGTTTGGCTCCCAAGCCAACAAATAAGACAAGATAAATAAGCCTATTTGGATTTGATTTAGAGCCTTGCACGAAAAGATGATGAGCGCCGTCACAGCAATCGATTCGTACTCACATGTGCAAAAATAGGTGCTAATCTTCTTCTGGGTCTTGCAGCTTTGGTTCTTCCCAGGACGAAATTTCGTTCAAGAACCATCGGCAAGACATTCACCATAGCCACATGTTTCCGAACCCTTTCCTTCCCCGATATGGATTACAAAAAACAGTCAAGCAGGTCGGTGTCTGTCTACCATCGTCAGCTCGAATCGTGGCTGAAGGATAGTACACGTGCTGGTGAGCCGACATCTAGCTGAGGAAGAAGTCGAATTGGGACTCGACTGTGAAGAGAGTGAGGTGAATTACACTGCGTTGCATGATCGTGTTACGAGATCACGGGTCAAGGTCTGGAATGGAATATGCAATGTTTCAGAATTGGCGCAGACTCTCCAAGTGTAGAAGCGTCTACATGGTTGTGTATCGTTGAGCACTTGATGCTCGATATCGTGTTTTGCACAGCCTAATTCTCCTTTCGTTGCGCTTTGATGAGTTTTTCCTTACCCCGCACAGAAAAAGCCTTCCATTGCATCTTACTTGACTTGTCGAGAGTGTGTGGTTCTTCGAAATTCATGAAACGACACGCTCGATGCCAACTACATCTGGAAACAGTCCGCTGACGGTGGATGCATTGAGCTGAGCTTCTTTTATCGGACTGCTAAAGTTTAGAATACACGGCTGTACAGAGCGTGGCTGGCTTGAAGGGGAGGTTCTCTTCCCGAAGGAGATGGACGTGAAAATTAAAAATGAAGGTGACGAATCAAAAGCCCCAATCCTCGACCTCTCGTACAATACTCTCTTGCCATGTTCTGCATACTCATCCGGCATATAACTCGCGAATCTCAACAATTGACAGACATGCAAGAAGGTTGAGCGCTGGCAACTGCGCTTCCATAAAAATAGAGAATGGCTGGCACAGAATGCAATGGCAATTTCTGGAGAGACATGCGGAACCTTGTACAGCAAGTTTAAGGATTATGTACATCGAATCTCAAGCAGGGGCGGATGGATCACAGCGGTGGATTGCTCACTAGCTTGAGATACTTCTGTACATTATTTAAAAAATTGCTCGGCAATCCCTGTCAGTGAAGTAAGGCGCATGCCGGAGGTGGAAAAGGTGTAGAGATTTCAAACGAGAGGGGACTCATACAACCATGATATTAGATTTCAAGCGTATTTCGCTGGGATCAGAATTGACACGAAGAGAACTAGCGCTAGTGCTGGCAGGGCGTAAGCTCAGGGCGCAAAAAAAACATCAGCCCCTTCACTTCGTTGAGTTTTGCCCGGCGATACATTCCTTGTTTGTGGCGTTTTTTCATCTACTCTTCAGGCGATGGACGGACTCAAAAGACAAGAGCAAAACGTGGCACTTGGTACTTTGGTGCTAATCCTATACGAAGTGATTTCAACAAATTATACTTGTTCAGTCGTTGCGACACCGATACTCCACGAGACGCAGCTTTGCGTGAAGAAGATGTTGATCATGAGCTGCGCGAGTTCATGGCAAAATTGGACACCGACTCCAGGTGACAAGAGCCTGCAGACTGTAAAGTGCAAAAACCTGAAATCATGAAGTTATCTTGAAGGGACCTGACATCCATCTCCCGATGACAGCAGTCCATCATAGCTTAGAACCACTTCCTCTCGTATGAATCACCTCTCCAGCGAGCGAGCGCCATCGTCTGAAGTACCCAGACCACAACCTGCTGTGAAGAAGGCTGTCATGAGTCGACTTGACGATGCACAGGGAACTCGTCTGGCCTCTGCAGTTGGTGAACGCTATGATGGAATTCGGAGTGGGTCATGCGAGCTCCGCTGCCAAAGCTGCAGGCCTTTTGACAGTTGGAGCTGAAGGTTTAAGGGGGGACGGTAATGAATGACCTATACAAATATGGAGAGAGGACCCAACGATGCTCCCGAGTGCTTGACGGGTCGGAGATGGCAAACCGCATGCTTCCTTCTGCTCGAGAGCTGCGGGCACCTGTATCTTTCCTATGAGACCTCCTGTGTCCTCTGTGGTGGCAGGGAATGGAGGATTTGACAATGATTTGACGGACAGCATTTCCTACTCAATGGGGAATTGAGTCGGAGCGTGATTATCTGTGGGAAAGCAAATCCTTGACGAGCTGTTGACCGTCGATGGTGGCTAAGAAAGCCTTGGCTGCGTGTTGGACGCCTCCCATCAGTGGAAATTGACAATCTGGATCGTGAAAGTGAACTTCGCGCACTTTCAACTCCGCCTCCACCTTCTTCAGAATCTTCTTGTCCTTCTTATCCTTACTACCGTGCAGGCCTTTCCATGCCTTCGACAGGGAGAGGCACGAATGCGAATTGGTCACGAACGACAGAGCTGCATCGCGGCCGACCTCCACAACGTCGTTGTATATCTTGAACGAGGACGACCGAGCCGACTGCGCGTAATGGGTTGCAATCAGGACGAGATGAGGGGTTGGAACTCCTGCAAGTTTGTGGTCCGAGGAAGCTGTGGCATACACATTGCAGAGCTGCAATTCAGAATCTCAACTCGGCAATCATTCCTCTGGATGACCAGACGAGATTAAGCAGATAAATTTCCGCAGGCACCAGCCACAAAACATTGCAGTTCTGAATTTCAGATCTTCGAGAGCATAGAGTACGATTCAGGGATTTTCAGACAATGCGTCGAGAGGTAGAAGAAGTCTTACGTGCAGGCCAAAATCTGATGACGACTGCTCCGAGGGCGTCCGGGCAGGAGTGGCAATTTGAGGGACGGTACCCACAATTCAGCGGGGCATAGTAAGGTTTCATTTGCGCGCAGGGCTGGCAAATGTCGTACGAGACGGTGAGCTTGACTCCACTGATGATGACCTTGCACTCGTCGCATTGCGTCTCACTGGACTGAGCACCCTCGTAGGCGTACCACCTCGAGCCCAGGGGCAATCTTTTCTTGTAGCACCCGTAGCACAGATCATAATCCGGCCTGTACCATGTTCCCATCAGCTGGACCTTGCATTCATCACAAGACCACGAGCTCGAACCTGCAGCACGCAACGGAAGTCAGAGTTGCGACATGCAAGGACAGCCAGATGGAAGACAATGCTGGCGGGCAGGGACATGAGATCATGATTCATGAGACGAAATTCAGAGGGCCCTGGGACTCACAACTTTGCTCGAGCCTGCAGGAACTGACGGGGCTGCCGGGCTGGAGGGGGAAGGACCCGGAGTTCGTGAGGCGGTACGGGGCGTGCTCGAGATCATCGGTTTGGGAGAAGCAACCATGGCAGAGATTGGTGGCGGGAGTGTACTTGATGCCATCGACCATCATCGAGCATCCATTGCAGCGCACTTCCGAGACCGGCGTGTCGTAGGCATACCAGGGCGCTGATGAATTCTCCTTGGCGAAGCACGAGTAGCACAGATCGTGATCCGGCACGTACCAGGTGAGGGTGAGAGATCGCGTGCATCGGTCACATGTATCTGCAACCAACCAACAAACCAAATCCGAGTCTCAAAATCCACGACCGACCCCAACCCCAACCCCAACCGCAAACCGAGCAGAGAATCCAACCAACGCGCAATTCAATTCGATTCAATCCCTACCTGCGTCCATATCACGAATCCCTTGCGCCGAGAAAGCAATCGCGACCCCTTTTTCGATCCGGAAAGCTCAAAATCACAATCACGCCCTCCGATCGCTGCGTCGCCGCACTCAATCACCCGAGTTCTCAAGTCCTATCGCTTCTCTAATCTAATCTCGCTCTCTATCACTTCTCCAATCGGTCGATCGACTCGGCTCCTCGCAATCGAGAGTCCCGAGTCCACGGACCTGTTGTGCTCCGAACGATCTCACGAGCGATGAGCGAGAGCGCGAGCGAGCTCTCGAGGGCAGAGAAGAATCGTCGTTCACTGGAGCCGGCGGGCGGAGCGAGTTCATATGCTCACGGGCTGCGCAGCCCGAGCAGGTCATCGCCAGTCGCCGGCTACTGGCCCGACCCCCGCGCAGCCTCTGCGGACCGGCTCGGCCACGGGCCAGCGCCTGTAGCGCCTCCGGCCAGCCGCTCGCCAGTCCAGAGGGAAACTTTAAAATAAACCCGACGTCGGACATGCGACAGGACGCTCATGCCGGAAAGCTTTGTGTTGTCCGCATTACGTCAGCTCAATACAGAGTGGCCGTGCTCTCCTTTCCGTCCCCGGGCTCGCCTTTATTTGCCTTTATTTGCCTTTTGATTCGCTGTTTTAATTCGCCTTTTAATTGGACGATCCTGTTTTTCAGCCGGCCTCCGTGTTCGACCTTGCGGCGGACGCCCTGGACATCAGCGTGGTAATTTCCGGCGCTTTCTCGAATCTTAGACGCAATCCCCGGTGGGACTCGTAGCGGCCCTTCGGGCGGTAAATGCTGGTATGGTCTCACCCACACGTGTCCAAAAAGGCTACGGAAGGCCCTCGTGGCAAGTCTCAGATCCCGGCTCTTCCCGGGGATTCGGGCTCCAGATACCCGAGATGTGTGAGCCTTGGATAATTCGGCCGACGACTATCCATATTATTAGTATAGAAATAATCATGTCTCGGGTCCGGTTAATCGGAAATTCGTCCGATATACATATCGAGTATTTCCCTCCCGCGCTCCTCTGGACTTTATTATTTAATTTCATCATTTATGATGGTGTTCGAAGATTCCCGAACCGGCCCGGTCATTACGAGGCAGCAGCGGATCTGTCCGGTGACTGACACGCGAGCGACGGCCGTGCGCCTTCGCCTTCAGGGAATCCACGACTCTGGAGTTCTGGGACTCGCGACGGGGAATCGCGATTGGTTCGAGAAATGGGATCACGAGGACTGCGATTGAGAGTTCAGGGAGGGCGAACTGCGAACTGCGAACGGCGATCGCGAAGGGTCGATGCCGGGCACGCTCACCGGGACAGCCGAGCCTCGCACCGGCTCGGTCGGTCGACGACCACAGTGGCCCCACGCTCGCTCGCTGGGGGACTCGAGGACATGGACGGACGAGGCGAGGGGGACCATGGGGGATTGCCGATGGAGTGAGGGGCTGGGGATTCCGAGCGAAGGCTGCGCCATGAATCGAGCGCGAGCGGGAGAAAAAAGGTGCCCAGAATTACGAATTGGCGAGCGAGCGAGAGCGATAATAATGTCCAGCTCTCGCGCAGAGACGCTCGCAAGGGAGCTCCTTGAAGGTGTCTGGATGCGAGGTGCGATGGCGTGCTGGGGCCCAGCCGCATGACGCGAAGACGTGCGCGACATCTCCTGACATCCGCCATGAAATTGCCATGACCGGTTTGGCAGCTCTCGTGGCTCCATCGTCACAAGGGCGGGCGAGCGAGGGAGAGCGAGGGCGCCAACTCAACCTTTGAGGGCGATTTCGAACTTCGCAGTCTCGAATGCGGGTCAAATTGGCCCTTTGTGCGTCCCGCAGCATGCATCCATCCGTCCGTGTCTATGATCCACTGCAGACTCCGCTCACTGGTCTCTCCTCTCCTCTCCTCTCCTCCGACCTCGTAGGTCCCACTCGAGCCCTAAATTGTTCCCCACAACTGGCACCCCAAGTCTGGAGGCCTTTCTTGTCACTGTGCTGTTCTCCGTGGAACAGCTCGGGAGTTGACCATCGATCGGTTTCTCTTCTCTGTTCCCATCAGTCTCCCTCTGCCAGGCAGAACGGCATCTACCGTAATTTCTCCTGACCTCATCGACCTCCACCACACGTTGTCGTTTCCTCCTTGCAATCTCTGCTCTGCTCTGCTCTCCTCATACAATCCGCAGAGAAACGGACGACGTCGTTAGTAGTTGAACAAGCGACTGTGACAATTGGTTGAATTTGAAGTACGTGACCGTAACCGTGACCCAGGAGGGTCCCGTGGTGGTCTCCAAGGCAGAGCCACTGGATAACTCCTAGGGTTAGGGTCAGGAGGAGTTGCAAGTGCTTCTGGGGAAGCGACCAGAGGTCATCAGCAGCACATCCTCATACAGGACCTGGCGATCTATGTTCAAATCTGGGGCATTAAAGGTGAAGGGCCACCTTGCCTGCTTCCCGAAAGAAAGGAAAAAAATGCTGACTGACTGTCACTGACGAGACGAAAGCTGTTAGCTGACAAAGTCGGAATGGTTAATGTCATGTCTCCCCACAGAAGGAACTTTGTGCTCTAGGCTTCCTGCTCGCTAAATGGTCGCACCAGTCCGCTGGCCTCCAGCCGAGACAGAGTTCTGTTGAGAAGAAGAGGGGCGTGCAAGCGTTCTACGATCGGGGGATTCTCCTTGATTGAAGGATTTTTTTCTCTTCCACTGTTGCCATTTTGTCAACATGCGCTACAGCCAAGGGTCGCGTGCTTTCAAATGCCGCTCCCCCGCTCGGTTTGGAATTCCTGTGATGATCCTTCAAACCAGCCAAAGAAGACTTCGTAGAGTGAGTTTATCAATCAACTTTTTTTATAAATTTCCTACTTCTTTCATGCTCCGCCCTTCGTCTTGAATCGCAAACTTTGCAACATTTAAGTCGCTTTTGCTCACCAGCGAAGTTGGAAAACCGAGAATTATTTAAATCAGGTCTGCGATGCCACGAGCCACTTTGAGTCGTGGCGGGTTCTGTTTCATCGGCCAAGGACCAATCTGGTCGTCGCTCTAAAAATGGCCGTCTCTGGTGGCAGATTTTGTCTCGCAACAGTCTAAAATCGTTTCAGTTTTGAGCGGCGGCATCTGATAGGATCAAAGATGCCGTCTCTTCTTGTTCAGCCACAAATCGGAGCTTACTGAAAAAGATTCTGGGGTTTTATGGCACCCGTGAACCATGCTGGAGCTCTTGGCGCCTCTACCGAAGAGGAGCCCTCCAGCCGATGCAGCCGAGCGCGCATGGACGCTGTGCAGGCGGATGGCTGCGAAGTGTACTGTCTCTCGGGATGACCTCGGTTACGTAATCGTTAGCCAGATTGACGACACTTCTGACAGTCCAGGGTCCGGAGTTTAAGGTCGTGCCTGGAATTTGAACTGGTACCGTGTTTGGGCGACAATCCCGAACTTCTACCTTCATTTAGACCCTGCTGAAGGACAAATTAGTGCAGTCATCTCATTATCTTCAACAAATTGCGGACTGGTGAGTGTTCTGGCCTCCCTCATTCTGAAGCTTTGCTCTGCGCCGTGTTTCTCCAGCGTTCAGTTAAGCGTTGTCTCGTAAGCCTTGGCAATATCTCCGGCCCTCGCAGTTCGATCTGTAACAAGTTTTCCTTGCAATCGTGGCACTCTGCGTTCCATCTGCTGTGGACAGATGTTGACGACAATCTGTTCGTTCCTTAAATAATCTGGAATAATCCTCTCATCGCAGCTGGAAAACCTGCGATGAGAGGATTGCCAGGTTTCTATCTGACGATGACTTCGGAGCACCTTAAGCTAAGGCAACTGTGGGGCCAACAATGTGGTCAGTTAATCGATTGTTGGCATTTGGCACTTGGCACTTTTCTAATGATCCATATTTATTTTTCAGTCCGCGAGGTATACTTCAGTATATCTCAACGGGGCTTGCTGCTATCAACTTATTTGATGTGCCTCACGATCAATATTTCGGAAACTGCATCGAGTAAATTCTGGAAGCATCTCTTCGAACTTTTCCTTCGTCACTTCATATCTTGTAACAGAAGTTTTACATATCTTCTATATATGATCATGTAATTCATAGCACGAGCAAGCCGAATCCTGATCATGTTATTCCTATAAGCAGTCCTGCAGAAAGAGGACATTTCCGAAAGAGGTATTGTCAGGAGTAAGAGAGGAGGTAGCAAAATGGGTGGGAAGACGCCTTCTGGTCTCACATGGATGAGAACAAGCGGAGAATATGTGATGCTAATAGCATCATACAAGGAAAATACGATACCAAGGATAACTCATTCGAGAGATCTTGTCTCACGATTCATTATTAGAAAAGTACGTATATTTCAGCAATGAATATTAATGGATTCAAAATAACATATACTTCTCATATATCTATGCATCATGAGTGTGGATCGTAAGTTTGATCCACATGTTTAATCTACACTTGGCTTGTACGAAGGAGAAGATGGGACATAGAGTCGAATGGCAAAACAGATTCATAACAGAGTGAGGAATGAGATAACGCCGAGGTCGCAAGAATAGAGAAAAGTCAATTAAAATGCGGAGAACAATAAATAAACATGGTAAATTAAGTGGAGTTGCACATGAGAAAAGGTGTAGATTCCCAAGAAAAATTGCAGCACTCAAAAGGCAAATCAAGTAAAACATATACATGAGAATTAGAATTAAGTTTTATCATAAACATGTCCTTGTTGAGCAGGGAATCAAATTTTTTGATTACTCTTAGATACTCTACAAACATGTTCAGTAATTGTTTCTCCAAAATCTTATCCTGAATGCTTGAGCACGAAGTAAAATCATTATGAAGATACGTAGGGATAGGCTGTCTTACTATGTCGATTTGATACTAATGAAGATCAAGAACAGAGGTATAAGTGATGAAAGTAATAAACATAATTAGAAAAGTATTATGTCATGATTCTTATACACTTTTCAATAACATATAGAAGTCGTTTAGTTGATGGTTTGCATCATGCATGTTCAATATTTTGAGAATATCCTCACTATAAGAATGAAAAATGGCTCAAATTTTTATATGGGGTTAAGTTAGACTTTACAGAACGAACCAAAAAACATGTTTTTACACATGGAAGATCTTAAGATATTTATACATTCATGATGAAAAAATGTTTTCGTTTGTATGCATTCTCTCAACCTTGCTTGAAGTGTGATCGTCAGAACACTGGAAGGGTTGTCAAATTTTTGTCTTGTATATTTATGGCTCCAAACTTTAACTTGAATTCTTTAGAGTACTAAACAAATTATGATTTAAATAAGCAGATTGAAGTCAACAAACCGATGAGAAAAGATAGCCAATTAAAACATAAAATGATAATTTATTTCTATAAAAAAATTCTTTTAGATATAAGTAAACTGCTTAATTTTTTTTAAAAAAAATCTATTTAGATAAATTAAATCTAATTATCGTTCGTACGTTATATTACATCATACAGTTGATACTGCATATAAAAATATAACATGTTGTATGCAAAAATAATCATGTAGTTGAACTCAATTCAAAACATAATTTGTTTATGTTTTGGTTCACTTCATCGAACTTTTTCTTTGATTTTAAGAAGAAAAATTATTTTTTCTAACATAAGACTTCCAAATTTTACTAAAATTTTAATTTTCTTTCCATAAATGTGAATTCTGATAGGGAATTTATTTAAAAATAATCCAAATTCAAAAAATTTGAAAATGAGTTGGAAATATTTTTCTAATGCAATCATGTAGAAAAGAAATGTCCATGCTTGATGAAAAAATTCATTCAAAACTCCATAAAATGTAAACCTCATGTGATATCTATCAAGAAAAGAAAAGGATTCAGACTTGTCAAGTTCATACGTTTTTTTATCATAAAATCGGATTTATTTATTTATAATCTTTCTGATATTTTTTCCTAATTAACTAGATATTTTATTTTAGAAACATATTTATATTTGCATGATGATTTTTCAAGTGATTTCGCATCAATCTAATCATATCAATGCAGGATAAATTTATCCAAATAATATAAAAAATGTATAAAGTTTATTTTACTGTCATACATAAAAAAATGATATTATTTATTGACGTCAAACTCAATCTTGTGTGAGTAAGAGTTAATAGGTACATCTTTTAACATTTCTATTATATCCATTGTTTTAGAAATCTATCTATTTACGTGCGCTGGTGGCCTTCACAAGAATTAGAATATGTAGTTTGTGGTTTCAGCCATGTCAAGCCTTTAGTGGAAATTATAAATGTTGAGACATACCTTCAGCTCATCTTTTGGACATTTCTTACCTCCTCAAATGCGTTTGAACTTGTTTTTCACGTATAGATTTAAAGAAAACCCTACTGTTTGTGAAAATTATCTTTGGTTTGCTTTTGATGCCTGAGAGCTATTTCGGTAAGCTGCATCAAAAGAGACCGACACGGAGGTTGCATGATATATTTTCCATGCACCCGATCGTGTAAGTATGTCATGGAATATGAAAATGAAATAACTTATTGGTTTCTTCATAATATCAAAGTATACATACAATTATCACATTCAACGTTTTGGAAATTCTATCCGAGGGATTGCGGTTTCATCCTCAGCAGTTTCTTCAGCCACCAGTGATGCCAAGGCGCAAGTCTGCAATACCTGTAGCCAAGAGTTTTGTGCCAATTCGAAAGCTTTGGACTTTGTGGAAACTGAAATCGGGAAAAGAATAAAGCTGCAGGTTCAGCTGCAAAATGTCGTTGGTTAAATCTTCAACGACGAACCACCACTTCGAATTGGAACTTGGGAGTATAGTGGTTGTTGCAAATGCTTCAGAAGGACTTCTTCAGTTTCTCTATGTGACAATGCCAACTTTCTTCCTCGTGGCTTTAATTCTTTCCAACAATCTCTCCGGAGAGATGGAGTTTCCTGAAGAAATATCAGCCTTCGAAGTTGGTTTCTTTGGAAAACACGAGAACGATCACTCTTGAAGGTCATGGCTTCCTTCTTAGCCCTAAACTATACTCTCGATATAATGGAAATCAAATTACAACCGCTAAGGAGATACATGAATAATCGGGTATCCAAAGTCAGTCATGCCGATGAGAAATCGGGACCGATTCGTTGGATCTGGTTCTACCTGGGCAAATCCAGATACCTTCCAGTAAACACAAGCAAATGGCATGACAAAGAAGAAGCCTGGAACCTGCTGCTGCTGTTGAAATGTGCATACTCCGGCAATAGAAATCCTCCAGATAGACTGATTCTTTCGAGAAATCGGTAACTAATTTAGCCCAATCAAAGGTCCTCCGTAGACTGGACTGCATCTCTAAACGAAGCGATTGTGTCTGAGGTCCAGAGCTCCGGAAACGGATGAGGACCTGCAATGGAAGATCTATTCTGGTACGCGCAGAATATACACCAAGTTCGAAAAAAGGATCCGGGAAGATTCAAAGGCAAGCGAATCTCGGAGCGCGCTCGAATTAGGGTCTGCGTCATCCATCGCTTCCAGAGGCGACATGAGCGAACCATGGGCCGACCATGTCCGCCGCATCTGCGTACTCTGCAATTGTACACCGAAATTCGTCGAGTACGACGAGCAATCGTTTGGCGCATCGTGACGTTCATGTTCAGCTGGTCACCGATGACGACGACGACGACGACGTAGCAGGAGCATGCCAACCGTGTACACCTCCCTTTGAGTTCCCCCTCAAGTACTGACAAAATCTGAGCCCTTGAAATCATGCCGGGGAGTTCGGTAACTCCCCGGCTGGATTACCGACATTCAGCCGGCGGCACGACACGGCGAACTTCCGGCAAGCTTCGGAAGACACTGCCGGCAAATTCAAGCTGAAACATTCCGTGCAACGATCGAAGAAACTTTGACCTGGATTTGGCCCGGCGGGGTTTTCCCCGGCGAGTGCTCCGGTGAGCCGGAAGAGACGGCCGGGGGGTGTGCATGAACAGATACGGACTGTACGTCGACAGGAAAGGCCTCCAGGTTCCGGCACCATCGACCGGGGTGTGGATTGCACGTTAGTGGGTCCGTTCACATTTGCATTCGAGAAGGTCATCGCTTTCCAGCCCGACGCAGAGATTTCACGTTTGAACATGATGTTCTACTTTGAGCACATTATTATGATGGAAACTTTTTCTCGTGCCTACTTTCATGTCACTCTGATGGAATAATCCATTTACATGAAAACATGGCATTTTGAAATTCCTTTATCCAAGTTTTTGTATGTATTCATGTGAATTTCTTCAATCCGGCAGTGAAGCAAAACCACAGTTATGTAATACAAGTACCAAAGTTTTACCTACGATCAGAAAATAAATTCTAGATAATGTATATAGACTTGATAGTCCACTCCCATGCACACAAAGGAAGCTTTTGATGATTATCTTAGATAAAGTTCATTTTCATTAGAATTTATTCATTCTATTAACTGAATTTAATGAATTATGAATTAAGTGGTAATTCATTTAAAAAAATTAAATAAACAATCATTTTCCATGAGCAACAAGTTAGGAGTGAAAATTGGTTCTTCGAATTTATATGAAGTGTATAGTATGAAATAATTTTATACGATCTATGATAGGAAGTAGTGTTAGAAGTCAACAAAGATAGATGACTGAAAATATTCGAAAAAGGAAATCTAATAAGTGCTAAATGATATTCTAGTGAAATAAAAAATGAAGTGATTTTTTTTGCTCTGTATAAAAAATTTCATTGCATCTTATCTAAAAATATATACATAATCTATATAGATATTGCATTTTACCATTTTATCATGACTTCTTAAGACTTCGAATTTTCATTAAAATTAAAATTTTTACATAACAAGTAATGACAACATTTGCTTGCAACAAAATACGTCAATCATCTTGAGTATTGATATTGCTTGCATTGCAATCAAGGATTACATGAAATTTTAACTTCTAAATTATTTTGAAATTTTGATTTTCCTGGTTAGAAATGTTAATAGCACAACTCTCACCAGTATATAAATTAACTTCTTAATTTTTTCAGTAGGATTTTGGATTACCTGAGTTCAAAAAGAATATGTTCATTTCGTAAATCTTGTCATGTTTTTTTATAAGTTATGTTAGATTTATAGACTTGAGATCTTATGTTCATCATTTGATGGATCAGCTAGTACATTGACACATTAATTTTGTTTAAAGTATGACATATTGTTTTAGAACATGACATATATAATATTCCACAAAAAGTGTTGAGAAGCATGAACATATTTTGAAATCATTTACCTTGATGGGTTATACATTTATAAATACTAGGGATAATTACATCACTCTACTGCAGGCCTCCTGAATTCGGGCAAATGCTAGGTTTGCCAAAATTAAGGTAATTTTGGTAAATTTTTTTCTTTTTATTTTGGCTTTTTAACATTGTCATTTCATTTTTTTTTCAATGCCTTGGTAAAATCGTTTTGAATTGTTTTGCATGCAAAGCAACTGGTGCTTTCAACTTACGTCGTATTTGGATACGTCCAATGAATGAAATGTACTTGGGTCATTATAATCTAGCCAGTAAAATATTCAAATGATCAAAATAAACATGCTATAGAAATGATATGAAAATAAAAAAGTCAAAATAAAAAATAAAATAAACTTGGAAAATTCTATTTAAATCAAGAAAATACTGAGAATGATCAAAAAAATATGCTATAGAAATGAAATGAAAATAAGAAAATGAAAAAATAAAATGAAATGTGTACAATCTAAATTTTTGTAATTCTCCTATTTCTTTGGTACTGAACTTGCTATCCGTTGTTGAGTTAGTACGACATAAGATTTGGACACATCTTCGCAACTTTGGGTCAAAATAGAAACTCACTTAGATTTGCCATCCTCAAATCAAGAGCATGTACTCCCTAGTTGTTTCGGTAGCACTCATTGCTAACTCCTTTTTCCCCGGAGTTACTAGGCCGATCTATTATATATACTGTATAGAATTTTGGCCAGATTAATTCCAACGTCTAAAAGTAGAACGCCAGATTTTATAAGGTTTGCTGTATTGTAAATCTTGAAACATAAATTATACTTTAATGTATAAGAAAATATTTGAAAAAAAATTCCAATATGTATCAAAAGATGTGTATTTTGATATTTGAAACGAGAATTCTAATCATTTTTTTATACATATAAGAATAATAAATTCAAAAAAATTAATTGTAAGATCAAACATAAGAATGATAACGAATAGTGCAAGAATTTTTTTCTACATTATAAAAATAATACATTCACTCTAATTAAAATTAAGTTGAAAATTAATTAATATGAACAGTCCAAAATTTTTCAAAAATTTGAATAAATTTGATTTGAATATCATTCTAAAAATTATTTAAAATTATTATCTTCATAAAATATTCAGTGTGTAAATTCAGTATTCTGTATGCACAGATTTATTGTAATCGAAACATATTCTCTTGAGCAACTATATTTTGTCAATCTCTACATGTTATTTCCGTATCGGAGTCAATATATCCACTGTCTATGTACAGTGTAAGATTGAACTTGGATACGTTCTTTTGGAAAAAGAAATTCTAAATTTCCATGTTTAAACGACAGAATTGGAGAGAAATCAAGAATCGTTCTTCCAATATCTGACCGTCAGTATCGAATGCAAGAGGTCTGTAATTCATGAACTACGAGTTTACACCCTTGAGAGTCCAACTTGGATCAGATGAGATGGACCTGAAAACTTGAAGTATCAAAAATGTGATATATATATATATATATATATATATAACTAACTCTCGGAAACAAAGGAAGTCTCTTTCTAATTATGGTACATCTTCCTCCATTCGAATGTTGCACATATTCCATTATATTTAGCTTGTCAATACTAATTTTGCATGATTCGGTCAAAGAGGCGTTCCAAAACATAATTAGTTGTAAATGTGCAGAGTGAATCTACACCACATACAACAAACAAAAGCAAATGTTAAGCTTCCACTATCTCAACACCCAATGGAGATCTTTAGTGAACAACCATGCACATTGAGTCCTTGTTATATTCTACACTTGAATAGAGTAGAGATTCAAATTCAACAGAGTATGTGTGATTTCATTTAGGGTCTAGAGTAGAAGGTTTTTGAGATGAATGCACTATACTGTAGAGGTTTTTGTAAAATCCTAGCTTACGACAGTAGATTCAATAAACATTTGCTTAAGTCTGCATTATGATCCGGAGAATCCAGTGCGGAATTAACAGAGATACGGAGTTAACATTCTTAGGAGATTGAAGAGAAGGTGGATGTTGTGTTAAACCCTAAGAACTCACTTTGGAGAGAACATCACAAGCATGTTGAGTAGGGACCGTGCGGCCGCAGTGTGCTCGTATGGAATTGGCAAGCAATAGGTCGTTGGGCCAATCTAAGGACTCACGTCATCATCAACTTGGACATGCTGCCGAGACTTGACACCAATAATGCAGATCACAAACCGGCTGACACAATGTGGTGGATGAGATCGCGAAGATAACGCCTTGCCGTCAAGTTCATTTATGTCGACCTCATGTGGTCACTGGTGTAGGCATGGAGATAGGAGATCAAACCAAATTTTTTGATAATGTTCATTATCAAAGATTTGAGCTTGTGATATGATAAATGTAGAGGGGAGAGCGATCGGCAGCAAATGAAGCTAATCTCATTGTTAGAATAACAAAATTTGACTTCAATGCATAATATTACTTGTCAATCTGGAATGGTAGAGAAGACAATTTGGAAGCTGAAGTCCAACAAAGACAAAATCCGTGAAAGAGCTCAAAAAGTAGATCAAGCTACCCAAGAATCCACATTTTGTGCATCTCATGGAATGTTTCCTGAACTCAAACACAATGTACTCGAGTGGATTAAAGCTGGTCATAGTATGTCATTTGCATTGACTCCCAATATTATTTGTCATAAGACAAAAATTATCACCTCTGCTTTATAAATATCACAGTAAAAATTCAAGTCTTCTTGGAGATGATTTGCTAGATTTCAGCAGCGGTACGGATTGAACTCCATCCATTTTTTTGGCGAAAGCAGAGAAGTCCACAAAAACGATCCTGAAATTATCAAAGCTATTGAAGAGTTGATGCTATTATTAATGAATATGACCCATTTTACGTCTACAACATGGATGAAACATGCTTGTTTTTTTTACTTGTTCCTCGCTATACAATTCTTTTGCCAAGCGAAGATGTTTCTATAGTTCAAGAAAAAAAGAAGTCAAAAGACCTTGTAACTCTTGTTGTCTGCTGCAATGCTACATGGAGAGAGTAAGTACCAATTACCATGATTGGAAAAGCCAAACAGTCAACGTGTATTGCCGGAAACTCATGGCCTATTTCATACATGCAACAAAAGAATGCTTGGATTGAGGTTGAAACCTTTAATAGATGATTCGATGAGATTTTGAGCCTTTTGTGCGGAAACGCACAGGCCATAAAGTGCTACAGATTTTAGACAACGCGACAGGCCATTCAAAATTGTTTGAGCGAAACGGAATTCGTGTGATGTATTTTACTTCCAATGTGACGTCGTGGAAATAAACCATGGACATGGAATTAATTGTAGCCATTAAAAAACGATACAAGTATCTACTGATCAAGCACATCATGACTTATCATGATACTCCTGAAGCCGTTAAGGAGCAATTGAACTCTGCTGCATCAAAAATGAAATGGGATGCTGCAAGTTGCTTACGGCAAGCCGACTCATTTGCGTGATGCTGCTAACTTTATTAATATTGCATGGAATGACATCTCATTGCAAAGTTTGAAAGATTGTTTCAAGAAAGCTGATATCATTTTCAATTTTTGTGATATTAGAGATAAAGTCATCAATGATAATGATCTCGACAAAATTACAGATTTGTTCCAAGGTTGCTGCAAAATTCTGAATGATGCCGATGATTCAAATCTCTGCGCTAAGGTCCAAGAGTGTTTTGACGATGATGATGAATCCAACTTCTGCAAGAACTCTTTGATTGATGAGATTGAGTATGTAATGACAAACGCTGTCACCATTACTGCTGAAGAGTGATCACAAGACAGTGAAAATGAATCCAATTGCAAAGCTCTGAATTTGAAAGAAGCGTCATT